CTGCGGCGGATGCGGCGGCTTCGACGGCAAGATTCCTAATCTTCTGTCACTCCCCAAAATGGGGTTGTGTTCGTCAGCGTCTTCTTCGATTGAACTGTCTTACGCGGCTGCGGAGGCTGCGGCGGCTGTGGCGGCTGTGGCGGCTGTGGCGGCTGCGGTTGCGGCGGTTGCGACGGCGGCTGCGGCTTCGGTGGTTGTGATGGTGGATGTGGGGGATGCGGCGGGTGCGACGGCGGCTGTGGAGGCTGCTGTGGAGGCTGCTGCGGAGGCTGCGAAGGGGGCTGCGGCTGCGATGGCGGCGGATTCTCCTAGCGTCCGGAGCTTGTACCATTGCCTTCGTTAGCGCACACGCCGATCCATTGAGTACACGGCCTTGATGCTTTGGGGTCAGTCAAACTTGTAGCCGGTCTTGTGCCGGATCCTGGCCCGAGGCTTGGGATTTGTTCCCCGTCATGGTCAGCATGGAATGAGGGCTGCGCTGGTGTCCATAGCGAAGGAGACAGCCACATTGCCAAGCGCCATGGCTTCCGAACGCACTCTCACCTACCATTGCAGAACCTGCACACATCCTTGAAGCAGACTCTCTACAAACACGCCCTCTCACCTGCCTTGGCAAGCTCGGGCTGCCTTGGGCTATGATGCCTGAATTGTCTCATATCCATAGTGGTGTCACCAGATTAATGCTCCAGCACAGATTTGTGCTCCCAGCCTCGGGACAATCCTACGGCCGGCTCAAATCTGTGGACCGAGGGCCGTTCCGCCGAGTCAGGGCATAAGCTCCCTGCAGGCTCCACCCTCCTGCCAGGACGGGGCCTGCAAGACTCTTGCGACTCACACCCAGAGCCGGTGGCAGGTCAGTGCTGACGAGTTTCGGCTTACCATGCCTTACCCTACCAAATCAGCCTGAATAAGCACGGCCACAAGAAGAGCAAGCCCAGCTCTGCGATGCCATCCGTTCTGGCGGTTGATGCGCAGTGCCTCTCAGATTAGCTGCAGGGGCACTGTCAAGAGAGCACTACCAGGGAGGACGGTGCTGGCTTTGAGCGCGCTGCCACTGCTGGCACAGACTGGCAGCCTTAGAAGCTCCAGCAATGTGAAGCTCTGCTTCCTGCCACGAACCTGGCCAGGTTCCGCAGAAGGGAGCCACTCAGACTTTCAATCCGAGTGATTCCAAGAGAGAATCGAACAGAACAGTTTGCTTACAACCGCAGATTCCCCAACATGCAAATCAAGAGGTAGTGGCTTCCGCGCATTGCATGAAGACCAGTCATCGCTGAAGGCTATGGAGGAGGAGAAGGTTTCTGTGCGTTGGAAAGAAGCTGAGCAGCTCTGGAGCCGAATTGCCATAAGTGGCCTCAACGTCTCAACACAGGTCGTGGGATTCAGGGGTTCTCTCCCATGCCCAAGAGCTTGAAACTGCAGGTGGCATGTCAGGCATCGCAGTGGGCTGTGGCCTGGATCGTGCCGAGCCGGGGCCAGGCGGGGTAGCTGGAACGAAAGGTTGATGAGCACGCTAGGGAAGGGCTGTGAGCCGTGCCCAGTGCCTGCCAGTCCTATGGCCTTAACAGCTTCCTACCATCAGCATTCATCAGCTACTGTCTTCGTCGCAGCCTGTGGATCGGTGTGAGAGTTGCCACTTATTGGCCGGCAGGTCACACCCCGGGCTTCCAAGCTGCCGGTGCGAGCAGAAGCAGCTAGCCCAGCGGCAGGACTCGGAATGCAAGGTGTAAGGTTTTGGAGCTTTGGCGGCATGGTGTTGCAACTACAAGATGCCACGCGGTAAAAGAAGCAGAAGAGCTGGGATGGGTCCCACGAATTCATTTTACTCTGTCGCCACTGTAGGGCCTAAAGCGGATCGATATCCAGACAGTCACAACGTACAGGACGCTACGCGCCGCCTGCGGACTTGACAGCTCCAGTTCTTTGCGAGAGGCAGGGAACCGAGCAGGTAGCAGGGAGTGAGCGGGGAGCGCCAGATGTGCGCTTGGCTTCTGCCAAAGCGAGGAGCTCATCCGGCTTGGCCTGGAAAGTGCTGGAGCAGGGCGACGGCGGGTCGGCGGCCCCGGCCCGGATGATCCTCATACGATTGAGGGTTCACGGGATACTACAGGTTCGATGCAGTACAGGCAACCTCCCTCGGCTTGCTACCGGCCAACGCAAGACGGCAGGTAGGTGCTGGCTGCGAAGATGCAGCAGCACAAAAGGGTGTTGTATATATCAGTTTGAGCAGCAAAGACACAACTCCCGGCCAACAGCATTGCCGCATGTGATTCTCCTGCTGCATCGTAAGCTTTTCCGATGCGAACAACTGAAGGCTTCCCCCGCTCCGGTCGGACACGGTCATCGTCAGGCGGAAGTATTGACACAGGTCATAGGTCCGGTGGCAGAGAAGAGTCAGTTCAGCATGTTGCGAAGTAGCCTTCGACGTCTCCAAACATGACAATGACGGCTCTCAGATTCTGGAACCATCAAGAATGCAAACGTGCCTTGTGGCAGGTATACCGGATGGAAGGCGAGCAACGGGGACTTGATTGACAGCCGCGCGCTTGTAGTTTCGTGTACACCTGTTATGCTGCCTATGCGATGGCAAGGAACTGATTCGTTTGCCAAGGCTCCTACTTGAGACAAGAGCAGACGAAGGTGAAGATCACGAGCGTCATCCCAGGAGCCCGTTATGACGGCTCACACTTACGCAGAGCTGCTTCAAGTACAGCTGCACGCAGGATGGCAGGAAGGTCTTCAAATGATGTCGCCAGGGGAGAAGCGGCGGTCGAAGCCCCAGCTCTCTGATGGCCCCCGACATCTTGCGATCAGCTTTCCAAAACCGAGATTTCTGTGGCCCGAGGTTCTGGATCCCAGCGGAGCTCGGATTTGGTGTGGACCGCCGGGGTTTGCGTTCGAAGCTTCTGGAGTCTGAGCTTGAAGTTGCAGCCGCCATGCCGTTGGCTGCACTGCAGGAGGGCATCGACGATCCTGAAGACGCCTGGCGCTCGGACTCGGCCTTCCATGAGGCGTCGGACAGCAGCGCCGTGCAGGCAGCTGGGCCGCTTGGTGCCACCGTCTACGACGTGGAGTTCGTGGAGGCCCTTTCCCTTTTGGGAAAGATCGGCAGCAAGCTTAGCTGCCCCTGTTTCAAACTTTGAGAACCGCCGGCAGGTCACTGAGCCAGATGCGGATCCCATTTTCGTTTACATCGGCGTGGGAGGCAACTCGCCAAATTGAACTCCTGTACTTTGTCAAGCCTGCAGCAAAAATTCGGTTGAGACGACTCATGTAGGAAAGCTCTTACCTCACGGTAGCTTACGGCCGGAGCGTCGTAGATTCTTAGTTCCGCCTCTCACCCGGCATTCTAGTAGCAACATAACCGACATAACAAGAACAGCAGTTCTCCGTTTTCCCGAAGAAGCCTGCTGAAACCGGAACTTGCACCAGCTGCTTTCCTCTTGGCCCTGACGACGCTTTTCTCGGCTGTCAACGAGGAGCCCGAGAGGCCTGCTTTTGCTAGCTGCCACTAGTAGCTGTGCTGGGACACAGTCACTGAGAGTGAGTCCTTTTGAGTCTTGGTAGGCGGGAGTATGAGACTTCGGCTCCCTTCTCGATCTTCGAACGTCCAGACAGATGAGGCTCCTGCAGCCTTTGTTCTGCACCTCCAGGATTTTGTGTGGACTCCGAAGCTTAGTCGTAAGTTCTAGACTAGGCCTAGGCCTCTGGGTTGATCAGCAGGTTCGCACATGGTACTCGCTTCTGGCGACCTCTCTCTCTCTCTACCCCTGGCTCACTCCTTGAGTGCTTGCCGCCGTGTGCGCATTGAAGTCAGCGGCACGTGCCACAGGCTGTGAAGAAGCAACCCGGAGATGGAACGCGTAGGAAGCCTCTGCAGCTACCCGCAGACGATTGCAGAAACGCATGTGTTCGTCCCCTCTTGAAGTCGGGTTCAAGACTGTCACACATTGGATGCAAAGGCTTCCTTCCGCTCGACCGCTAATGGAACCCTGCAGCAGCTTGACGAGTGTTGTTGCAGCCGTCAATTTCCCTTCGAGGCTCACGCCCGAAGCCACAAAACCTTGAAAGTACCAAGCTGAGCTAAAGCTACAAGAAGGTCTGGCAGCTCCTCGCAGGCTTTTGCAGCACGCTTCTGCCTTGAGTGCCGATCAGATTTTCTGTCGCATTCGGTCGCACGGAATGGTGCTGATTAATTGTCTGCTTGACAGCTTGGGCACTCAGTGCAGCAATTTTCAGATCAAGTCTTTAATGGCGGCAAGGCCCAACGAGCCACATGAGATTCAGCTGAGCCTCAATCTCAGGTGGTTCTGGGCCCGAGGCCGCCGGGCAGATGGGGTGAAAGGTGCGAGAAGGGGGCCGCTACCGCGGCCGTATATTTATCCACGCTTGAGATCACCTGCGTGTTGAGGTGCAGGAGGCCTGCTTCGCTCCTTCGGCCTCCATAACGCCCCGTACATCAGTTCTCAATAACTGTGCGAGCTGCAAAAGACTGTCGACTGCATGCTTCCTTACCACTCCACTTATGTCGAGGCACTCTCTTCATGGCAGGGGAACCGCCTGGAGTTCTTGGTGTTTCCTAGCGGTTAGTGCCGGAGATATGCCGACTTCTCGGACAAGCTGATTAGTTTTCGTCGAAGTGTCAGCGTCAATGGAATCAGTAGAAAAACAGCGCAGTCACTTCCGAGACAAGGACATTTGGCCATGACACGATCGCGAGAAGGGCTCTTCCAAAATGTCGAGTTTGATTTCTTCCTTCAGATGTCTGGTGCCTAAACCCGGCCCGTCGAAGCACGGATCCCGCATGCAGCTAGAGATCCGCCGGATTGCTCTAGGCATGGGTACGTCTATCAGGTTGCTGATGGTGCTGGTGGGCTGCGATATGGGATGCACACGGCGCTGAATGCGCAACTCCGTTTCAACAGCAGTGAGTAGATTTCAAGCTCATTCGTTGTGATGCCTCGAAGCACCTTGCAGCCAGATTCGAGTTTTGAACCGCTATGCGTGTGGCTGCCTTTGTTGTGCACTGCAGTCACTGCAGCCGTTTCCAGAGTCTTCTCCACGCAATGGAGGAGCCCATAGCCGAGCCCAAAGAGGCTCCGTGGAGCCGGGACAATGCCAGCCTGGCCGACTTCGATGGTTACGCGGGCAGGCATCTCAACGCCACTGTGAAGCTCGGAAGACAGGGATCAAAGCTCCTCGCAGGCTCTTCGCCCAAGCCCTGGACCTGGTCCAAGCTGCTGGGCGCAGCCGCCGCGCTGCAGAAAGCGGTATCAACCTAAGTTGGACTCTTCGCCAGACTTGCAGTTTGCACGTTTCCCCCTCAGTCGATATGTTGCTGCTTTCCCTCCCTACGTGTTCCCAGCTTGCCGAGGTTCCTCAACAGTTGCAAGACAGCGGGCGCAGCGAGCGCAGCACGAGCGAGATGCAGTGCTACGTTGGGCAGAGGCCCACAGTGGGAGCATACGGATGCCTCGCCCACAGCCATAGGCGCTAGCTTCGACGTTGCCACATCGAAGCGAGTCCTTGTCACAGGAAGCTACCACGCGGATCAATACACTGACAGAGCGTTTCCAGCGAGGTTGGGCTCATATGGAACCTTGAAGTGATCAGATCAGCTCGGATCACTGGACTATTACAGATCAGGAAAGCATTTCGGAGTCTGGGCTAGCTTTTCGATGCCAGATCCTTCGCTGCTGGAAGTATTTGCACGTCAACCCATACATTGACTACATTTGTCGGACGTGGCAACGGCACAACCGCCGCCCACTGCCCCTCCTTGGAACACAATCTCCTACTCATGAGCTTGTGAATCAGTTCCATGGCTGTAGATCCTTTCTGACACCATCCTTGGACTCAGCCGAGGAGAAGCAGCAAGTGGAGAAGAGGCAGCTGGAGGCACTCACGCCAGAACTTGTGCAAAACAATGGCGTGCACAGTGGAAATACTTGCACCTTCAGAGGCGCGCTGTGAGCTGCTGTGCAGCAAGCTGAAAGCTGCAGAAATGGAGGGTTTGGCCCTGCGCGCTGACGCAGAGGTGTGGGCCTGTTCGAAGTTGCGATCGCCCTTTGAATGAGGAGGAGACGGCTGACGTTTACAGCCAGCTTCACCACGTCATCGATGTCTAGTTCAATCGACTTTAGCTGCTGCCTTGTTGCTGTCAGGCTCAGCGACATTCCAGATCAGCGCCAGAGCCGAACGTGGCGAAGCTCAGCTGCGAATAGTTGTGTTCAAACATTTTCAGTATCCGACGTTCGGGGGCTTTATGTAGCCTGTGTTTAGGTCAAGGACATGCGAGTTTAAAGTATGCTTAACAATGCGTTGAGTTGTGACACCAACCCCTTGTGTATCTTTGGGATTGCGGGTTTTGACGAGGATAAGCCCCCACGTGCAAGCCCAGGAAGCTGGGCTAATCGTCACATGTCATCCGGACTTTAGAGTGTTGCAGCGTTGCATAGCAAGCTCGAAACATCGTTGCTTGTTGGGTCCGCATGCTGCGCGCGCTGGACCAGAGACTCCAGACACGATGATTTCTAGATAAGATAGGCTACTCGGTTGCCACTCTGTCACTGACGGACCTAGAGCAGGGCGCTTCGAGGCATGCGCGGGAATTGTGGCGTCACCTAAGCTTCAGGCGTGATTGCAGGAGCCCGCAGACGTGCCGAAGCAGCAGCTGAGGTCTCCTCGCAGAGGTCCCGTGACCTGGGCCAAAGAGGTCGCCTGGGCGCGAGGCCTTCACGACATTGGGGATAAAAAGAGCCTAAACCGACGGGGCTACATTGCTCAGTGAAGTGAATCTGAAGTGAAGTGTGTGCGCCTGTCAGGGCGGCAGAGAGGATGCATGTTGTGTTTATTGGGTTTGGCATGCTCCATGCCGTGAGTATCCCAGCGACCTCAGTCGGCTCAGGCCTTGCAGAAGACTGCCGCACCGGTGCCTTCCATCCACCGGAAGTTCGGCGGAAAAAGCGATGCGGGAGGTGTGCTCGGCTTCAGCGCCGGCTCTGGACACTGCGGAGGAGCGTGCGGCACGCGCTCGGGTCCAAGCCATGGGGTGCATCACTAGGCTGCAGCTCATGACCTTAGATGCCTTAGATGATGACTGACGACGACTCTTGCGCTCAAGAAGGCGCGACTTGACACAGCAGCGCCTGGCCGTCGTGCTAGCAGCCGCCAGGTGTGGTCTTCAGATTATTTGGCGGTGTTCTGCTGGCGCAGTCGAGTGACATCTGTGTCAGGCATGATGGGGAGAAGCTGGAGTCGGCCGTGCGCGTGGCCCGCCGGCGCACACTGCAAGTGATCGAGACTGCCTGGCAGCCAGAAGTCAGACAAGCTGCTAAAGTGAAACCCCAGCCGTCCTCGCCCTGTCAGCACCTGCAGCAGACAGTACATGGATAGCAACAACGGAGAAAAGCACTGCGACGCAAAAGCATGTCGCATTTAGGCGAAGAGCAACATCCGTGGACAGAAGCTGTGCTCAGGCTAGGCTATCTTTATGTTATACCTTAGATTCTGCCGGCCTGAAGCCGGAATAGGTAGCTCAGAACTTTACCGTCTGGTTGTCGTGTGCTGTGTTGAACCTGGTGCCTTCAGCGGCCGTGCGCGCTGTCACGATCTGTCTCTCCCTAGCTCCTTTGATCTCCGTGACATTTGTCAAAGTCTAGCAAGGCCCGGTTGATTTTGGGTGCAAAGCAGTGGGGTTTTCCTGCTCTCCAAACTCCGAGGAGCTTCAGCTTGGCCAAGCTCTGCATGCAGCCTTTGCTGCTTGGGCCTCCTCCCGATGCCATCTGGAGGTGCAGAGAAACGGCTAAGGGGAACCTACGAAGGGGCTCGGCAGAGTTGCTGCCGTGTTCTCTAGATTCAAGTCTCAAGTGTACACTTAGACTGCTGAAGCCGTTTCTTGCATTGATCTCGCAGAGCAGAAGAGATCAGCCAACTTTCGACGTCAGCATGTCGGTGGTTTCGCATCTTTACGTCGAAGTTCGATGCAATTAGTATTCCTTGCCAAATCCAACAGCAGAGATTCCAGGCCACACAAACGGGTCTTTGTGCTCCGTTCGGAGCCCTTCGCACAGCAGCATCGACGCTTGCTGTCAGGTGCATGACAGGGGTCGTGATTAACGGGCTTGCCGGACTTCAGGACTACCAAAACTTAAACTACTACACGCATTTCATTTATTTCATTTGTGTGTGTGGTCTTGTGGACAGTCAGTGGGCAGGAGTTTGTAAGCTTCAGGGAGGCATGGATGCCGTCCATGGAATCCCACGCAGCGCCGAAGATGTGATTAAGAGCTTGATAGAGTGATGGCTTCGGGCTTCTGACTTCTATGTGGTCTCAGTGTGAAATGCATATCGGCCGCAATTGAACCATCAGCCTTCTCATACTTCCACCTTCCGGATCCCCAGCAGCCCTTCCTGAAGCCAATGAATGCGAGTTCACGGTTCATTGTGCAGTTTATGTTGGGGAAGAGTTGACCGTCCTGACGACAGACCATTCCGACACAGCGTGGTAAGCTTTGCAGTGTCTCGACATTCATTCAGCAAGGAGACTCGAAAGATGGTGGTTCAACGGTGTCTCATCGGGCATGGCACATCTGACCCCAAGAAGACAACTGAGTTGGTGGATTTTGACGTGATTGTAAGCTGTTTTTGGTGATCACGACAGTGCGGCACCCAAGGATGTTGTCGCCCAGCAGCAGCGAGCCGCCATTGAGCTTTCGCTCCTGCATTTCGCCAGGCGCCCCACGCAGATGGAGAGCCTCCAAATTTCACACGAAATTAGAAGAAACGGCATGCGTGGATGCCAGGCACCCTTCGCAGCCGCGGGAGAAGCCCTGAGCAGTCACCCAAAGGCTGCGAAGGCAGCTGCCCTCTCTGCTTTCTCTCATAGTCTCATCAGACCGGAATGTTGGGTTGCTTCTCAACGATCTTCCAGCAAGACGTAGTTGTGGTTCTAGTTTTTGCTGATGACGCGGGATGACAAACCACAGAGCCACAAGTGTGGGCAGGTAGCTGTGCACACAGCGGAAGGGGAATGACGGCTGCGATTGGTGACTTGCAACTGCTCTGAACGCTGGGCTTTTGTCATGTCGCTGTTGGTAGCAGTTCTTCGGCGAAGCAGAAAGTTTCCGCAGCAAAGGCACTGCAGCACGTGTGAGCCAAGTCTGGAGCTGAGAAGGTAATTCAAGGCTCCAAGGTGTGGAGCCTTGATAAGGCTTGGGGACTTCAGGTTTCGTCTGGTTTCATCACCTGTGCCCCGATTCTCATACTACCCGGGTCACAACGAAAGCACTATGGTGACCACCATGATTATGTCCATATTAGTCATACTGCCGCTGATGATGATGATGATGATGACCAGTGACGATGATGGTTTTGGCGGTGATGGTGCCTACCTGATACAACAGGAATATAATTATGGGGTTCTGTGGCAAGCGGCTAGCATTTGGCACACGGAAGGCCGCGTGTTTGGGCAGATGTGGCCTCCTCCCACTGAAAGGAACGTGACCAAGACTCCAATCACGGGTGTGAACAGTAAAGCCTCACAGCCCGAAACCTCAGGCACAGAAATTCGAAATGCCAAGGCATGGCAACTTCGCCGTGAGAGTGAACAGATCAAGCTACAGCTTGGGAGTGGTGGAGTTTACTAGGCTTTATGCAGGTCGTAAACCTGATTAAGAAGAGCAAGAAGACGGGTAGAATGTGGCTCATACGTGCCACTTTTCCTAATTTTCAGTATGCGAGGTTGCCATACGATCTGACCAAGCGATGCTGCACCAGCAGACCCACCCGCAAGGTAGATCCCTGACAAGCAGGACGTGTCAGCAAACCAAACCCACCAGATGACGGTAGTGATGGTAATAATGGTGATGTTGATAATCGTAACAGTCATATAGTAGTAATCATGTTGATGAGGATGCGGATGAGGATGATGGATGACGGCGATGTAATCGGATGCAAGGTGCTTCGCCAGGAAGTCTAGCCCTTCGCGCTCGATTCCGGCCACAAGGCACTGTGACTAGCAAGCTCATTTCTCCATCACCAATGTTATCATCACGAAGCGAACTCGTATCGTTAGTCGTTGGATCATGAAACGTATCATCGCAGTCATAATGTCCAGCGTTGTTTCTTCTACGTAGCATCATCTTGTTTTGTTCCAACCAGTAGTAGCTCAGGTAGAATTGGTAGTACCTGACTTGTTGCGGCAGGGACAGACACAGACCTGGACAGGCGAGCATGGAGAACATGGCTCGATCCGTGAGCTCTCGCGTGCAGACCTGAGTCTTCAGGTTTTGCCGCATGCATGTTGCTACTGCTACCTCGGCTGCTACTACCACGACGACGACGATGGCGACTGCCTGAAACCACTACTGCTCCTGCTGCTGCTGCTGCTGCTGCTGCTGCTGCTGCTACTGCTTCCTTCCTTACTCGCGTGGCGCATTCGTTCCAGAACGTGATTGCATGGCCTGGTGCTGGTCTGGGCAAATCTACGAGTACTGCTACTGCCACTGCCACTGCTACTTCTAGATCGCTGCTACTGCTGCTGCTGCTACTAACTACTACTGACTACTACTGAATGCTGACTATACTACTTACTACTCCTCCGTGTGCATTTCGGAGTTCAGCTCGACGTCGTTTTTCAAGCTTCATGCCGAACTTGTGCATGCACATCGGTGCCAATGACATGTGTTCCAAGGCAATCGGCTCATAGCCCTCATCACGCTCTATGCACAGGGCGCAGATGTGGCAGCGAAACGCTCTGCGTTCCAGGTGGCTTTTCTGTGGTTTTGTTTGGTGCCGGTGGTGCGCGTGTGCTCTTTGTGCCTCGTGACAACTGAAGACTGATGCCTTCACTGGACTCTTCTCTAAGGACTGGTGTACAGCCACGCAGCAGCGCAGAAGAAGCACGGCTGCTCCCTCCAACAGTGCTAGAGTGACATGCTTTGCCTGCAGATGTCTTCATTCGAGCTTCACTCGTGCATGTATGTCTGTGTGATTATGTATGTATGTGTGCACGTTCAGCAAAGGTGAAAGCCACAGTGCGTGCCACGTGCTTGCTTTTTACCCCCCACATGACTCAGGCAAGGCTGGTTGGGCACTACGCGGCTTGACAGCAGCTTGGGGGTTTGATGGGAAGCTGGTTTGACAATTGAGTCGAAGTCTGCTTATGTTTGGTGATTGACTGCTGGTGGAGGGAGGGGGCAGCAATCGGGAGGGATTCGCCTCTGAACAGGCATTCGGATTCCAGTCTGAGAAACTGAACGGGTGCAGGGTGCTCGACTTCTGTGGAGGGCAGGTTTTTGGTCAGCGTTTTTTGGACAGGAGCTTGCCACAGACCCGTCTTCTAATCTTCAATCGACGTGTATCTGCGATGGTGCAGTGGATGCAAGTGCGATTCATGTTCTGAGGAGCGGCTCAGCAAAGACCGATCAAGAAGCACGGACCAAGCGCAACTGGGCTTTCCCTGGAAGGTGGACAGCTGCTACGGCAGCGTTGTTGAGAAGCAGCACAATATAAGCACAATTGTCGTTTCGAAGATTTGTCACACCTAAAACTTGCATAAAACTATGATCCTATTGAGGTCGGTATTCGATTACATGAGTTGGATCTGTTTTTTCGGATGCATGTGCTTGTGGACCTGCTGGCTGATGACAGCAGGGGATGCCCGAAGCCCATTGCTGTGGAACATGGCTGTGCAGCTTCAGTGCATGCAGTGTGAAGCAATCTGAGGCACTCTTCAGAGTCTCCAAAGCATGGGCGGCAAAGAATGCAGAGTGTTTTGAAGAAAAGATGCAGAACCGCTGGACTTGCTTGATGAATGGTACTAACAGCTCGCCTCTGAAGCTCGAAGTGTGTCGCTCGGTGCTCAGCAGGAACCGTTTGTTGCCAGCTCTCTCGGGCTCAAGCTTCGCCTTGATCCCATCCACAAGGAAGGCACGTCAGACGGACAGTCTTTGCTGAAGAGAGAACGGCGCTACTCCTCGTTTTCTACAGGAAGGTCCCGGGCACCCTGAGACCGCACCGGCCTCAGTTCGGCCTCATCATCGCAGAGGAGACCGGAGACCGAAACCTCAGGAAGACACCTTTCATCTGATAAAGGGGAGGCTTGCCGATGGCTCTTGGCTTTTCTTAGGTCTCCCCATTCATACCTCTACGTTCTCCAGGCCAGGTATCTATTGTGGCATGGTGCGGCTGTGTTATGACTTGGCATAATTACTTTGTCTTTCTGGCAGGCCGTTCGCGCCATGCTCGCTACAGCATCCCTCTCCATGATGGCCAAGAAGGCACCCCCTAACAAGGCCCGCGTGTAGCATGTCACTTGCGGTACGCTGATGCTCTTAATCATGATTTTGCTATTCACGATGTGCAGATTCTGACGCACGTGATTTGTGATTCTCACCTCCCAAGCGCGAAATTCCCGTGTCAAAGCTTGGCTGCCCAGCCTTTCCGGCCGATGGCAATGCCAGGTGATGACGGCGTATGGGCACCGCTGGCAAGTTCCCCTCGTTCTTAGGTCTGCAAGAAGTCCTTGCTTCACGGAGCCGTCAAGACGTGTCAAGACAGAAGCAGTTCGAACACCCATGCCTGACCTGCCTGGGCTGCCAGTGTCTTTCTGACGGCCGCGCTGGCAGTCTACCACTTCATCGCGAACGGCGAGCACGAAGCCCAGCGCGGATAACCCTCGATCGTGTTGGCTGCCTCTGGCAGCCACAAACGCCAGACGAGGTTCTCGGCGATCCTGACACTGGCAGCCCCCAGCTGAGCTAGTCTCGTGCTGGTCGTCGAAGTCGACCTGGCTCTGAGCACAGGTGATCTTCCAGTGCCTGGGCTTCGCCTTGCTCTGCGTGCAGGTTCTACTCACCGTGCGGGTCTTGGCGCTGCGAGCGCGACGCATCGCGACGCAGTGATGGCTGCAACTGAGGGCACCTGCACTGGCATCTCGGCCCGCGCTTTGGCGCTGGACGTGTGGAGCCCAGCTCCTGGCCGAGCAGCCGCTCTCCCGGCTGCCTGGCCCCGTGCTCAGGCTTGGGCTTTGTGCTTCCGCCTCTCATCCACGCCCGGGCCCCGACGTGTCGAGAGCCTGACTTTCTGTGAGGTGGCATGTATAGAGTGTAGACAGCAGCTGCTCGGAGATGGTTTTGAATCTGCACTTTCTTGACAGTTTGTGGCTGAATGGCTACCTGCCGGTGGATGCCTCTGGCGATTGGGCCTACCAGGCCATCGGATTCGAGCTGGGCTTTTTCGGGCTATTAGCAAGGACGCTGGATTACGACGACGAACAGACAAGAGAAGCCTTCATTTAGTGGCGAATTGTCGCGACAGCGTGTGGCAGTATCTTCAAGTATCGTCGTGGTGTGCACGCACAAGGTGCACACACAAGGCAGTTGGCAGGATGCCGACGACTTGATGCATGGCTTTCTCTGACGCCGAAGTGTTGCAACGGAGCTTGCGGCATGCTTTGCGTAAGTAGCTTTTCGCTTTGCAAGTTGAGGACCCCGACGGGATGACGACGACTTTCATGCATGGCTTTCTGAAGCTCCGTGATGAGTCTTCAGTCAGGATCAACCATCTGATTGGGATTTGTTGTTGTGGAGCTTGCGTCATCTTTTGCGTAAGTAGCTTGTCGCAGGACATATATTCAATAATTCAGGACATTGGCAGGATGAAGACGGCTTTCATGCATGGCTTGCTGAAGCTCCGTGATGGGTCTTCAGTCAGGATCAACCATGTGATTGGTATTTGCTGTTATGGAGCTTGCGGCATCTTTTGCGTAAGTAGCATGTCGGGCGGCATGTTGAGGACATTGGCAGGATGAAGACGACTTTCATGCATGGCTTGCTGAAGCTCCTTGATGAGTCTTCAGTCAGGATCAACCATCTGATTGGGATTTGTTGTTGTGGAGCTTGCGGCATCTTTTGCGAAAATAGCTTGGTGGCATATTGAGGACATTGGCCGGATGAAGACGACTTTCATGCATGGCTTGCTGAAGCTCCGTGATGAGTCTTCAGTCAGGATCAACCATCTGATATCGATTTGTCACGACGCAGCTTGTGGCATCTCGCGCGGCAGTGACTTTACGGGTTGTACTGGTATGTCGAAAGCCGTCGACAGGATGACGATGACTTTCATGCATGGCTTTCTGAAGCTCCGTGATGAGTCTTCAGTCAGGATCAACCATCTGATTAGGATTTGTTGTTGTGGAGCTTGCGCCATCTCTTGCGCAAGTAGCTTGTCGCACGACATATATTCAGGACATTGGCAGGATGAAGACGACTTTCATGCATGGCTTGCTGAAGCTCCGTGATGAGTCTTCAGTCAGGATCAACCATCTGATATCGATTTGTCGGGACGCGGCTTGTAGCATCTCCTGCGGCATTGACTTTACGGGTTGTACTGGTATGTCGAAAGTCGTCGACAGGATGACGATGACTTTCATACATAACTGTCTGAAGCTCCATGATGAATCTTCAGTCAGGATCAACCATCCGATGGCAATCTGTCGTGCGGTTGCCTTGTGAAAACTTTTCTCAGGCAGTTGTTCAATCTGTGTGCAACGAATTCTCGACGGGATGACGACGACTTTTCATGCATGGCTTTCTGCTCCGTGATGAGTCTTCAGTCAGGATCAACCATCTGATTAAGATTTGTTGTTGTGCATCTTGCGGCATCTTTTGCGTAAGTAGCTTGTCCCACGACATATATTCAGAACACTGGCCGGATGAAGACGACTTTCATGCATGGCTTGCTGAAGCTCCGTGATGAGTTTTCAGTCAGGATCAACCATCTGATTGGGATTCGTTGTTGTGGAGCTTGCGGCATCTTTTGGGTAAGTAGCTTGTCGGGTGACATATTGAGGACATCGGCAGGATGAAGACGACTTTCATGCATGGCTTGCTGAAGCTCCGTGATGAGTCTTCAGTCAGGATCAACCATCTGATATCGATTTGTCACGACACAGCTTGTGGCATCTCATGCGGCAGTGACTTTGCGGGTTGTGCTGGTATGTCGAAAGCCGTCGACAGGATGACGATGACTTTCATGCATGGCTTGCTGAAGCTCCGTGATGAGTCTTCAGTCAGGATCAACCATCTGATTAGGATTTGTTGTTGTGGAGCTTGCGCCATCTTTTGCGCAAGTAGCTTGTCGTGGCATATTGAGGACATTGGCAGGATGAAGACGACTTTCATGCATGGCTTGCTGAAGCTCCGTGATGAGTCTTCAGTCAGGATCAACCATCTGATATCGATTTGTCACGACACAGCTTGTGGCATCTCATGCGGCAGTGACTTTGCGGGTTGTGCTGGTATGTCGAAAGCCGTCGACAGGATGACGATGACTTTCATGCATGGCTTGCTGAAGCTCCGTGATGAGTCTTCAGTCAGGATCAACCATCTGATATCGATTTGCCACGACGCAGCTTGTGGCATCTCATGTGGCCGTGACTTTACGGGTTGTACTGGTATGTCGAAAGCCGTCGACAGGATGACGATGACTTTCATGCATGGCTTTCTGAAGCTCCGTGATGAGTCTTCAGTCAGGATCAACCATCTGATTAGGATTCGTCTCGAGGGATGTCGAGATGTCTGCAGGACGATTTGAGTGCGTTTTATGTTGATCGCTGTCCCGCTGTATCCAGCCATGTGATCCTTTGTAGATCAAGCGATTCGAGTCTTCGGTTGCTGGAAACACTCTGGCTCAAAAGGTGGCCTGTGACCGTTCGAGGTTTCGGTACGGATACGTCGCATGTCCGAAGACCGCGACGACGTTCTTGGGTGAATCCGTTGAGCCAAGGACAGTGTACAGGTTTTGCACAGCAGAAAGCTTTTGTCACTCATGGTATGGAAGGGACAGCGCGGCAGTCTTTTTGCAGCCTGGTCATTGCTTGAGTCAGGCGGTGGACATTGTGTCCCTCGTCTTGGTGCTCTGGCTGCTGCATCTTGGCCTATCTTGGCACTCAGATATCCGCTGTCAGACGGTGGTGGTGCGACGCAGGACTTCTCTGGATAGGGATTCGATACTAACTTTCAGTAATCATAGAAGAGAACCATGCTGCATTTCTGTTTATCTGCCGAACGGGGTGTGTCTGCAGCCGGCATCCAGCTTTCTCATCTGCCGCATACATAAAGTGACTCATATTTCCATCACAGGCACTCGCTGCTCTTTGAGAAGAAGCACACTTATCAGGAAGAGCAGGACCAGACGTCCGTCATCGGCCGTTTTTTGAGCATCAGCGCCTGAAAGTAGGGAACGGTGCGAGTTGGATTTGTGTAGAAAGCTCGCAAGTTGTTGCTTCGATTCTGCAGGACACGTTTCCTGCAACTCCTGTGGTGCCCTGCTTTGTTGTTGCAAGCCCTCCCTTTGCTGCCGTCCTTCATGAAAACCGCCTTGAGACTTGAAGGTATTGGCTTGCCTTGCGCTGGCAATCGCCTTTCATGCCGCTGGATCCTCAGACGATGCATCGAGTTAGTCATCCCCGAGATCACGTGGTCGACGTTCCGCGTCGGATCTGTGTTGTGCGGCATGCTGCCTCTACAAAGACCTGCTCAGGACATGAACTCGCGACCAATCTTTGACACCCTATGGATGGCAGGCGCAGCTCGCACTAAAGCATGGCTTGTGTCGTAGTCCTGCACGGGGCTGAAAGATTCGCGAAGCCATGCTTCCCGCTTCCCTCGTTTCCCCTTCCTCGCTTTGGCCGAGTTGCATCTGAGTGGAGAATCCATCTCTTCGTGGTACCAGGTCTCTTCATCAGTGCCGTTGCAGTCTTGCCCCAGGCCCGGTGAGCGCTTCAGTGCTGTGGCTGTGGCGGTAGTTGCAGGAGACAGCACTTCTACTGTAAGAAATTGCCTTGAATATTGAAGTGCGAGCAGCGGACTTTGTCACGAAGCAGGGTGATGCTTCGCGCTTGCCTGCTCTTGCCTGCCAGCTGTGGCTCATCTCCAAGACTGGCGGCAAAGTTGAGCCACTGACCGAGTGTGCTTGGGTGGCGGCCCGCTGATGGCCGCTGCAGATCGTGACTTCATGAAGTTGTTGGACCTACTTCTCGAGTCGGCTCGCCCCGTGCAGTGTGCGACATTTCCGGTTGGGCTTCCAAGGCCGTTGACCAGCCACTACATTGCGGCCATGGCCATCAGCCGTGCTCTGAGCGGCGGATGCCTCAGCCCGGCCTTGCTTTCGGCCGAGTGGCCAGTCTTGTGCCGGTGCTTCAAAGATGTGTCACACGAGACACCTGTGCCCAACAATTGCATAGTTTACATGGGTGTCACTTCCGTTGCCAGGCGTCTTCATGTGGCATGCGCGCTTCGACATCACTTGTGCCCCATGGGTGGGCGGATTCAACCATGCCATCTGGGCCTACGTCTCAGATGGCACGGCTGAGCGAGATGGAATCGGGGGCCCGTTATGTGTTGGTGTGGTCTTGTCCTGAGGTCATCTTGGGAGCACATGCTCTGCACATGCTGCTTTTGGGAGATTTTGGCTACTACTACATCAAGCCCAGTACTCAGACAAATCTGGGTCGCCAAAGAGCAAATATGTGCCCCAGGTGCGACTTAGTGGCTAGGGCCGGCTAGGGATCTACTGCCGTTGATTGTGCCGTGGTGATGTTCCAATCTGCAGCTCCGCCAGCACTCGAGGACTGTCATGAAGGGAGGCCTAACAGCACAGCTGGATCTGATCCAGGAGCTGGGACAACTTTCAGCAATCTGGCTTTGGTTCTTGCTTCTTCCCAGATTGCAGGACAGCTATGTGTAGCCGCGTAGCAATGAGGGCGCAACTTCCTAGAGGCACATTCACTGCAAACGCAGGAAGGTGGGGAAGACTTTGAAGATCTCCTTCGCTCTGCAAAGAGCCGATCAGATGATGCCACACAATGGACTTCCCCTCCTTTCATGAATTGCTCCTTCTGGGAAGATGAGCATTAATAGCGGCGCAAAAGCAGAAAGACTTTTTATCAGATTGAGGGCTCGGTAGCATCTCAGGTCTCAGGGTTCCATGTTCCATCTGAGCGCTTTTGCTTCAGCTCTTTCGGGCTCAAGCCTCGCCTTGATCCCATCCACAAGGAAGGCGAGGTTTGCAAAGTGCAAAGAGGGTCTTCGCACGATTTTGTTGTTCGTCTTGGAGAGCTCGGCCTCGGCAGGAAGGTCCCGGGCACCCTGCGACCGCACGGGCCTTGGAAGACAAGACCCGCGGCGTTGCAGTGATGGCCTTCGCCAAGCCGAGGTCTCCCCGTTCATACCTCTACGTTCTTCAGGCCCCGCGGGGGTAGCTCAAGTCTCGGAACGGCTAGGGCCCAGGATGGCTGAGCCAGCAGGCGGCAGGTGGCCAAAGGAAGTTGGAAGGCATCCTGAAGTGGTCACACCGGAAGGCAACCTTCGCTGCACTGTGCATGGAGCAGGCCATTTGCACCATGCTCTCTACAGCATCCCTCTCCATGATGGCCAAGAAGGCACCCCCCAACAAGGCCTGGGTGCAGCATCGCGGCTTTGTCGTAGAGGATCATGTCTGTGCATTCGCAGTCTCCACATTGTCAACGCGTCCAGTTGACTCTGTTCAGAATTCAGCCGAATACATGCTATTGAGCTGTTTGCCCATCGAACGCTGCCATCGTGAACAGGTGATTACCGCCTACGGGTGCTGCCGGCCAGTTGCACCTACATACAACTATTCATGGTGCAGATCCTCATACCGCTTTCAGCCGTTCGAGCAATGGGCAATTCTCATCGCCAGATTCGTCATGCGATCCATGCATCCCATCCGAATAGTTCAAGACGTTGCAGATACCCATGCCTGACCTGCCTGGGCTGCCAGTGTCTTTCTGACGGCCGCGCTGGCAGTCTACCACTTCATCGCGAACGGCGAGCACGAAGCCCAGCGCGGATCACCCTCGCTTCTGGCAGCCACACAAGCCAGACGAGGTTCTCGGCGATCCTGACACTGGCAGCCCCCAGCTGAGCTAGTCTCGTGCTGGTCGTCGAAGTCGACCTGGCTCTGAGCACAGGTGATCTTCCAGTGCCTGGGCTTCGCCTTGCTCTGCGTGCAGGTTCTGCTCACCGTGCGGGGCTTGCGCTGCGAGCGCAACGCATCGCGACGCAGTGATGGCACCTGCAACTGAGGGCACCTGCACTGGCATCTCGGCCCGCGCTTTGGCTCTGGACGTGTGGAGCCCAGTTCCTTGCCGAGCAGCCGCTCTCCCGGCTGCCTGGCCCCGTGCTCAGGCTTGGGCTTTGTGCTTCCGCCTCTCATCCACGCCCGGGCCCCGACGTGTCACTTCTCGTCCTGCTCATGCAGCTCGCATGTAGCAGCATCGCAGACTTTTCGCCATCTCCTGGCAGTTTGTGGCTTCATGGCTACCTGCCCGTGGATGCATCTGGCGATTGGGCCTACCAGGCCGCCACCCACTCTGTGGATGCCTTGGCCACGTCACAGACTATAACAGTCACCCCGACCACGCCAAGCCAAAGCATGGCCATGGAGGGACTCAGGCGAGGGGCTTTCTCACAATGCTGCTGATGGTGATGGTCATGGAGGAGGTTAACTCGTGCCCTGCTGAGGCTTATAGTCATGGATAGTTATTGGTCTTCAGTAGCTAGTTGTACAAGTAGCACGTGCGCTGACGTGGGGAGGAAGCCCGAGGGCAGAGGGAGTATGAGCCTGGCTTTCGCTAAAGAGGTGCTACAGCTGAAAGCCGTGCCTTTTTAAATTTTTCCGCACGACACAAATCAGGGTCAGCCGCAAGCACATTGGATTCATTAAAGACGAGCAAGAAGTTCCGTCTCCAGGCGAGGAGCGAGCCGAGTCAGCGTGAAGTGACGTTTGCACACGGCGTGCTGAAATGCAAGTTGAAGCCTTTGGGATGACAACTTGCATAATGTTTGCTCGAGCTTCACACATGCATCAGTGCTCAGCCGAGTGGGAATCTTGATGAATCTTGTGCATCCAAGCGGAAGCTGGAACGACGTCTTCGCGTGCATCAAATTTGAAGTTATGACGACGTCATCTGATACATCGGCATCGTTTGACGTTCGGGCGTGCTTGGATCAGTCTGGGACCGCTCACGCGAATCCTATGAACTGCAGCATGATCACTTGCTGCAGGCGGTGGATGTCGTTTCGCTTGTCTTGGTGCTCTGGCTGTTGCGCCTTGGCGAAATAATTCATCCGCAGGTGTTTCGGACACGGACGTTTTACCTTCCTGTGCCCACGTTCCTGCCCAGCGAAGGTTTCCCTGAGCTTGGAGGAAGAAACAAACACCTTTCTGCGCGTGTGAGCTGCTAGATTCTCGCGGCAGAGGCACTCGCTGTTCTTTGAGAAGAAGCACACTTATCAGGAGGAGCAGGACCAGACGCCTGGCTTGGAGCAGCTTCACCGGATGAAGTAGGAGAAAGATGCTCGTGTGGAAAGTTCGCAAGTGTGTGGCCTAAATCCTGCAGGACACCTTTCCTGCAACCCCAGTGGTGCCCTGATGACGTTTTGCACAGATGATCAGTCGGCACGTCGAAGCATCTGGAACATTTGTACTGTGTCTGAATAGGCAGGCTACAAGGCGTGATGCGTCCAGTGATAGCCGTGGCGCATCATTAAATTCAATCTCGACGACGTGTGGTGGTGGAAGGTACTGGCCTGTCTCGTGCTGGCAGCAATCTTTCATGCGGTCGCAACCTTACTAGTGTTTCCATTCACCATGGGCGCAACTTCTGCAGCCAGATCTTTAGCCAAAACGAGTTGTTTGCTTTTATGTATCGCATGGGTAAGTATACTTTCGATGAAGCAATGGACCGTCGATTGCATAACCTTGATTGGCAAAGCGCATCAGGATAGTCGGCCCCTAACCTACGTAAATGCTCAGTGTGATCATCGTGGGATGTTTCCCTGGTATTAATGTGTCTGCTTGGAGCGTGAGCAGGCGAGCTGTGCCTGAAGTTGGAACTGATGGGCTCAGGACATGAACGCGCGACCGGTGTTTGACACCCTGTGGATGGCAGGTGCTCTGCATGGAAGGTCATTGTCAAGCGTCAAGCGAAAGAGCAGTGTAGCACAAGCACAGCCCACGAGCGGATCTGGTTAGTGGGTTCCCATCTCTTCGTGGTACCAGGTCTCTTCATCAGTGCCGTTGCAGTCTTGCCCCAGGCCCGGTGAGCGCTTCAGTGCTTTGGCTGTGGCGGATTGTGGCGGTAGTTGCAGCAGTGTCCACCAAGAGACAGCACTTCTCCTGTAAGAAATTGCCTTGAAGATGGAAGTGCGAGCAGCGGACTTTGTCACGAAGCAGTGTAATGCTTCGCGCTTGCCTGCTCTTGCCTGCCAGCTGTGGCTCATCTCCAAGACTGGCGGCAAAGTTGAGCCACTGACCGAGTGTGCTTGGGTGGCGGCCCGCTGATGGCCGCTGCAGATCGTGACTTCATGAAGTTGTTGGCTCGCCCCGTGCAGTGTGCGACATTTCCGGTTGGGCTTCCAAGGCCGCTGACCAGCCACTACATTGCGGCCATGGCCATCAGCCGTGCTCTGAGCGGCGGATGCCTCAGCCCGGCCTTGCTTTCGGCCGAGTGGCCAGTCTTGTGCCGGTCCTTCAAAGATGTGTCTCCTCGTGTGACACCTGTGCCCAATAATTACAGAGTTTACATGGGTGTCACTTCCGTTGCCAGGCGTCTTCATGTGGCATGCGCGCTTCGACATCACTTGTGACCCATGGGTGCCTGGCTACAACCATGCCATCTGGGCCTACGTCTCAGAAGCAGCAGAAGAAGCGGTCGTCCAGACATTCCTTTTCAGACCAGGCTCCTTCCTTCTATGCCGAAGTGCATGTGCTGGTCCACCCTTTGGATCCTGCATGCCAGCGAAGGTCATCTTGGGAGCGAATGCCCTACACATGCTGCTGTTGGGAGACTTTGGCTACTACTACATCAAGCATCGTGCTCAGTGCAAAGATTGTCAGTGGCGCAATGTCAAAGAGTGGGCTGTCTGATGCAGCAGCAGCAGCAGCAGCAGCAGCATGAGCAGCAGCAGCGGAGCAACAGGAGCAGGAGCAGCAGGCAAAGATGCAAAAGCTAGGTTCAGGGATGGGGAAGTAGCTATCATCAACTTGTCGTGTTGAACAACTCGTCTTGCTGCTGTTTGGATTGTGGTGCACTGCATGCATGACGAGGACGGTGATGAAGGGAGGCCTAACGGCACAGCTTGACCTGATTGAGGAGCTGGGCCTGGGTGTTGAGCATTGTCCGTACGGTGGGATCATATCGCTCTGCAGGACAGCTACGTCTAGCCCGCTGCTCTGAGAGCGCAGCTTCTCACAGGAACACTCTTTGCAGACACCGACAGGGGAGAGTGTTCGGCATTTTAAGTTGCCTTCCTTCCAAACAGGAAGGGTGGGTGACCATGTGAAAGCATGCTCTCCTCCCCTCATGAACTGCAGGAGCATGGTGCGTCAGCATGTGATGTGCTAAAGTACCCACTGCACCGCGTCTAGATGCAGCCTAAGAGACGCCATGCGTGAATGCTTAAAGAAGCTGCACACTCGACGTTCCTGAATCCGACGGCACTTCCCTCAGCCAGATGGCTTCAAGAATCATGTCATCAGCGCACAGTCAGCAGGAGCGGCGCCATTCCAAAAATTACGGCCCGTGCCACCATGCGGCTGGACCCACAACTTGAGCTGAAGACTCTCCAGCATGTTTTGAGACAGGTGTAGGACACACTCAGAGGTTACGGCTGTCCACAACTTGCATTTACAGTTCAGCACACAAGATGCTACCGTGATCGCACCAGCGATTACATCAAGTCTGGTCGTTATGAGCATGAAGAAGGCAGGGACAGGTGTCGTTCACAGGGAATGGATTTGTTCCTACGCCTGGGACAGCAAGATGTCTTTCCAGGCAGCGGCGAACTTGTTGCTGCTGGCTTCTGCGAATGCTTATGTTTGCCAAGTCCTCACCCAGGAGCCGGCTGTGTCGAGACAGGGTGAGCCTGGCACATGAGACAATAGCGGCCTCTAAGACTCTAAGCTGTGAGCTGATACTTCAACCACAAGGTATGTCAAGCAGATGCCAGGATCCACACCACAAGTACCAGGGATACTGCCAGAATGGTCCGTGCTTCCCGTTTTGCCGTCAACAGTCCAGGATGATTCTGCTGCATATAGCCACATGATCATAAGCATAAGGGGGCTTCCGAAAATCAGCGGTACCCTGAACTGTCTCTCACATGCGAGAAGTGTCAGTAGGATCCAGGTCACTATCAAAGTGCGACACTCCTGTGCCTGGAGACATCTCTGTTCCACTCGATAACACTCAACGCTTCTCTGCTAACCTTATATAAGGTTGCTGCACGCCCGTTGGCTTGCGATTCCTCATAGCACTCGGCATTGCCGCAGGAGAACGAGTCCCTGCAAGCTAGCTTCCCGCCTGAACTTGGAATGGGGAAGTGCATTCGGACAGTGGTCATGCTTGATGCCTGGCACGACGTCCGTGCCATGTGGCCTCATGCTTCTTCTGGCACAGATGCTTCTGAAAGGTTTGGGCCTGCAGTGCACCGTTGCTGGGCAATACTGTGGCCCGGTCGCAAAGACTCGCAACTCAAATCTATGTTCGAAAATGAATCTACCGCTGATGTCACCGGTGCGCCTCGCGGAATTGTAGGGACGTTCTGGAGTTGAAGACGTTTTTTTGAGCTCTCACCAGCCGATCCGAGGCAATTGCTCCAGCTCCTTTGTGAACGGGGTTGTTTGGCTACTTGCATCCGAGCCAATGAACTACACCATGAACTCCACAGCAAAGCCGGGAGAATGGTACATCATGGCCCGCGCCCTACCCATCATTCTTGGGCTCAGTCCCACGTATCTCGCAACAAGCTCCATAAGAACGATTCTTGCCCTCGGCGGACGGGAGCCTGGGGTCAACTCTAAGGACGCAACCGGGCAGTGCGTGGCCGCGTTCGGTACTTCCGCCACCGAGCCGACGGTTCAGAAGTGTCCTCCAGGCGGCTGCTAAACATCTATGAATCACCTCACTTGGCAGAAAAGTCTTCTGTCTTACTGCGAGGAGATCCTTCGAGCGGTTGCATAGCAGAGACGCGGACAGTAGGACGGATTCATGATGGTGGCGTCTCGGTCTATGTGTCCAGGCTTCTACTGTGCAGGCGGCCTCGAGCCGCCTCGCAGTTGCAGCACGGGCGACCACTGCCCGGTGGGCACAGGGCTGGAAGACCGCTACCCGACTGCATGCTGCATGGCTGGGCAGCGCAGACTCTACTCTTCTGACCAGAAACTTCGGCTTCCGTCGGTATCAACTCAGGTTCTTGTCCAATGGGATACTATTGCCCTATACCAGCAGCAGATGCGACTCGGGCGATTTCAGACGGGGTGGAGTTGCAGATAAGTTCCGCATCCTGTTGCCTTGCAAGCAGCTGGCCCAAAGTTGTTCCCAAAGCCATCAATCGATTCTTACGGAGATCTGTTCGTACACGGACTATCCGTGCCTTCCCAGCGCAGGTCCGGCCTTGTCCAGCAGGCGGCCACTGTCCTCGGGGCGCACAGAACCCTGAGGTCAGGACACACAGCAGAAAGTTGGCATGAGACTCCTCATGAATCTGAATTGCCCTTTTGCCACAACTCGTTGAGGCCTGCCAGGCCGGACGCTTCTGCCCGCCGGGGGAGGATGCCTTGTGCCCCCAGGCGCTTACAGCGAAGAGCAGCCTTGACTGGCAGTCGCAGTCGCCGAGCTTCGGAGCATTTTGTCATCCTTTCTTTTGCAGTCGAAGACGAACGGAATAGAACGGAATACAGATGCAGTGGCGTGCAAGTGGCACAATGAGGGGATGCTTCAGCATGCAGAGCGCTCGGGACGGCACATGTGGAGGCTGCAGAGCCTGCTAGTCCACGGTGCTACATATGCAAATGAAATCTGCGCTGAACCAGGAAATCTGTAGTCATCATAGATTCCTGTGCATCGTGTATCATAGGTTCTCAACCTCGCACCTGCCAGGGCCACTATTGTCCCTACGGCACGGAAGCTCCGAAGAAATGCAAGCCCCTCTTCAGATGTGTGGCACCCAGAACCAGCAGGGATGGGCGCTTCCTCGAAACCCTCGCGCGAGTTCAGGTCCTCCAGGAAGCAAGGCTGAAGATCCTTGGTTCTTCTCCTTGGTGATCCTGGGAGTGCCTGCCCCAGCTGCACGCCTGCGGTCACGGTCTGCCTGCTTCGGCCCTGGAGTTCGGTCTGCCTTCGAGGCAGTGGTCGGCGTCGGCTTCTTGGGCTCGATGCTTTACACGGAGATGGTGCAGAACGATTTGTGGGCCTGCGCAGCGAGCTGAGAAGCTGTCGGCGAGCAGCAGTCCCCTTGAGGCTGCTACTTGTATCTGCTTTTCTGGCTGCATCGCACAGGCCGTTTGTGCGGCCTGCGCTGGACTCATGTGGCTGGTCGACGAGGATCTTGAAGTTTCTTTTAACATGGCATCTACAGTTTGAGACCGGTAAGCGGCCATGCAGGCCATCGCTCTTTTCCTGTCCCTCACCTTTGTATCGGTGGCAGCCAATTGGGCCCTGCTTCGGATCGGTGGCGTGGATCCGGCTGTGGGCTGCCAAGTTGCGCACTATAGTGCTCCGCATCCCTTTCCCGCGTCATACCTCCGGCCCGCGAGGTTGCACAAAGCCTGCTGTTGTGCACAGCTGGTGTGGCAGTGGCACTGCTTTGGTTGGTGCCCTGTGAGAAAAATGCAGATTATGCTTTCTACTTCAGAAGCTTGCCACTTCCCAGGTACATCCACCGCTCCTCTGGCGACAGTTGGATGGCGGAGGGTAGTACCATCATAATAACGGCCAGTTAACTTGGATTGAAGATTGGTTATGAGAGCGGTGACGAGTCGGAGAGTCGTGAGACAGCATCAGTTGTGGAGAATTGGCGGCAAGTGCTGGGACGTGGAAAGCACTCGAGACCTGAACGGCAACCAACTCAGCCAGGTGGGCAGTCTTCTTCGGTGGGCTGCTCATGTGCTGCGCAATCGCCTACCTCATGTCACGGCAGGCAGACAAACGCAGCAGTGACGTAGTCTCTTCACTAGCACGACACACTTTGTAAGCAGGGTCAAGAGGTGCACCTTGCGTTCACCTACCCCCTGAACACCGAGCCTGCACACCACATGCCAATCCCCTGCCTTCCTGCTACAGCATGCTGCATGCTCACACTGTTGCTCCTCGAGCCCTTGGACTGGATGCCATAAGAATTGTGCACAAAAAGGCCGGAGGGCTTCCTTCTTGAGTTTGGTTTAGCCTTGACTTCCCGTAAAAGCTCCTTCTGTGACGGCAGAACCGCACTGCCGTCCTCTTGGGGCGCCTTCTCCTGTTCGGCCCTTGGCTTCTTCCCACATAGGAGCAAACGGGCTCATGTTGGCCTTGTGGCTTTAAGTGAGTCGCCGTCGGTTCGATTTTGCTGTTCGGGCATGCTTCGGCATGCTACACTTGTTACATCTCCGTAGACTGTAGGATGGTTGCCTTCGCGGGGCTCATCTTCAGCTACTCCCAGGCCGCTTCCAGGACAGGAAACATGCGAAGCAGTTTAGTGCTGTGTCACATGATTAGGAGTACTTAGCGCTGGCATTTCCGAGTTGTGCAGATGAAGGAAGAGATATTGCTGGACATGTGCTATGAATGTCTGTGAACTGTTGAACTCTTGCTGCGCTTGCTGCTATTGTGACGCACGAAGGTGGATCCGGGATTTACCGTGGCCTTGGGCATCGTCCTGCTGATCCAAGTCCTCGGCATCATCCTCTCATGGGTGCCTCCTCAAATGCCATGTGCACACCAGAGCTGCATACTCGTCACTGTAGTGTTGTTTTTGCAAACTCCGTGCATATGTCAAGACGCTGCGCACGATGGAGCCTGACTCGGTTGGTAGTGAATCCAAGGCTTCTGCTGGAACATGAGCAATGCGGCCTGAACTTCAGTGCACGTTTACACCGTCGACATTGAAAATGGCTCCAGTCCTTGGCGGTTCCCTGGTACCATGTTCATGCTCATGTCCACGCCATGTACCCTCCCCCTCAGCCCCGCACGACCGTTCAGCTCAGCACAACTCCTGATGAAGCACATGACAGCTGCCGATTCCCGCAATCACTTATCTGGAACAAGTGGTGCAGAAAACTTCAACCAAACAAGATCAAACGGGGGTAGACCACGCCACACTGCCAACTAAAGCAGACAATCGGCGGTATCTGAGCGAGAGCAGCAAGTACGGTGGCTTGGCGTGAAAACATTGGATCCGAACAGTCCTGATCCAGACAGACCCATGTCCCATGTCCCACCACCTGCGACAGTGACTTCGTAATCGATGCCTTGGTGGGCCGAGACCTTACCGAGTCTGTCCAAATGAGTGGCTTTCACTTTTTCCAGCTCTTTCCACCTTCCACGTTTCAGCTTGTAAGGCATGACCCAAGTATGGATGAACCAACGCCTGTTGCGGCTGAGCCCGGCAGACTTCGACAGCGGCGCACGGACCTTACACCCTGCGGCATTGAGGTCTCCTTTGAAGGGCCTGCGGTCACCGCGGGACACGGCCTGCGCAGGTGCACTTCGTGAGCGTTGCAAACATCAGCCCTCTGGCAGATGTTCAGAGCATTTGGACGGCCATGGCCAAGGCGACGGAAGCGACGGGACGGGAGTCTGCGAGCGACCGCTCCGCTGCTCTTCGCTCTTTGCAAACTCCGCTGCCAGGGCCAGGATCCGAGCAGCATCGTCCCCGCCCTCCAGGACGGGCCAAGTGGCGCTAGCGATACATTCTGTGCTTGTGCCATATTATGCCCTATCGGAATACATCTCACTCATGTATTCACACGCATTTTGCGACCGATTGCGCATCCTTGTCCATTGCTGGGCTGATGCCCGGCTCGTCCGTCTCCTGTCTTCGCCACTTGCAAAGACGATGTAAGCCCATGTGAATATGTGAACAGAGCTGAAGACGACGAATGCAGGGCAGAAGGGCGATCTTCATTTTCGCCAGTCCCAGTGACCAGGCGCAGGCCCCGCTGCTGACGCAAAGAGCTTGAGTGCAGGGAGTGATTTGTGTGGTGGTACGTGTGTTCTGAACATGCATAGTGTCATTAGATGCAGCCCGGACCGGAGCATGTAGACCGCGAGCAGGTGGCAGCGTTGCGTGACTTTGTCCAGGCAAGGACTGCTCGTGAGCCCAATTCCACGGCGAAGCACTCGCAGAGTTGCTACTTCATAAACAGAGACAACAGCACTAGGCCAATGCTTAGTTGCGGATACACGTGCCATCAGGCGATGGACTCCGCAGGCAGTGATGCAGCACCCATGTCGCTCGGTCCACGTTGCTGGTTCTGAGTTGTAGTTGTCCAGCGGCCGACCAACCGGTCGTCCTTGTGAATTCTACTCAGTGTCCCTTGTGACCGATGCCAGACATCTAGCTAGGCTCGCCGCCGACATCGGCAGAATCTGTTTGGGCAGTCGAAGCTGCATCGACTGATCTGGGGATCACAGCTATCACAAATATGATTATGCGAAATTTGTAGCTGAGGATCTGGGCGCCACACACCGTCACCCCCGAGGCAACCATTGCTTGCTTTTCGCTGAATGGCGAGCTGCTCACGAACACCGTGCTATGATTCGACAAACCGTTGGAGGGAGCGATGCCGCATGGTCGTTTGAGCTGCACATCGTGTGCATGTCTGTGTGCGTGTGTGTTTTGGTCATCCCCATCGTCTCACTATGTTTGAGGTTGCATTCAGCAGCACCAGCTGCAACTCAACATGTCCGTCCCTCTATCTGTCTGTCTGAAAGTATGAATGCATGTGTGAAGGTGCATGCGGGCATGCGTATGTGTGTATGTATCATATGTCTGTCCGTCTGTAGGCATGTATGTATGTCCGTAGTGCGAACCAACGCTCGTTGCGACAGATCCGGCCGCACAATGCAGTGGTCGACACATTGTCGAACGACGGGCGGAATTTGGTTGGCCTCTTGACTGAAACAGTAGCATCCAGTGCACGTACGTGGTTGCGGTGCAGTTGATATCTTGCACTTCGAAGATTCAGGTGAGTTGATGGCCGTGACCTCACCTTGGGGAGCATGTACTCTGCCACAGCTTCAAGACTTTGATTGCCCACGCCTGCATACGCTTGCCAAGGAAATTGGACTTGATGGCATCATCTCGGGAGAGTGCAGCCCCCGGCGGGAGATTTTGCACTCTCACTGGACCTTCCTCAGACACTTCAGAAATTTCAAGAACTCTTGGCAAGTCTTGGCAAACCAGGCCGCAAGGACCTGCCCTGGCGCTGGCTACGCGAATGTGGGCCCTGCACTCAGTTCCGACCGTAGGCGCGGTTTCCTTTTGAACAGCTGCAGAGTGTTGAGACCACCAGCTGCATGCGTGGGGAGTTCAAGTCTTCGGCCATGTTTCAATACTGCGTTGGGCCGGAGGTCATCTGGGGCTGTTGGAACTCAGGTGCGCAAGCTCGAAATCGCTGCCCAAACGCTGTGCAGGGCTCGGAACGCAATGCAATGCCGAAGGCTGCTCTGCAGTGCCAGCGCAACGAATGCTACTGAGGGCAGAGGTCATGTACGAGCGGAAGCGCCGGGCGCAAAACGTGGAGTACTTCAAGGCTGGCATTCCCTGTGCGGGCATGCGAAGACGTCTGGTCGTCTCCAACCGGTGGGCCCAAGTTTTGAGCAGGAGCTGGAAACGATTCAGAGCCGGCTGAGATGTCTTGCTGAGATAGTCGGTGGACCCATAGGATAGCTCGGAAAAGTCATCGTATCATGTTGAGGGGCTGGCATGTAGATCCACTTGAGCCGTAGGTTGTTTATTGCGAACATCCAGCACATTCAACGAAGTCTCTGTCGTTCAACCCACGACCATGAGACCATGTCGACTCCTCCAAGTCCTGTATTGCACTGCAGGCTCACACCGACAGCCTCCTTTGGGATTATCTCCGCAATCGGCCGCACGCTCAGGAGCTGTAATTGCATCCGAAGGCAGTGCATTAGTCGAGATGAGTTGCCGAGGCTTGCGCCGGTGGTCCCGCCGTGTGACAGACATCTCCCAGAAGGTTCCGCATCTCCGGTACCTGCTCCTGTGAAGTGCAAAAGGGAGGTACGAGCTCAGACTTCCAGGGTCTCGGTCTGCGGGCCTTACTTCACAGAGCTTGTCGGTTTGTTTGTGAACAGGCTCTCTGTGTCAAGTAGGCCTCTGTTATCCTAGGATCGAAACAGCTTCCGTTGCGATGATACCGGAGCATCATCATGTCGCTGCCCCACAGGCATCCCGAGCCACATAGACGGGTGGTCGTTCGGTGCAGCTGCCACGACTTGTAGTTGCCAGCGACGTGCCACATTTGCGTGGCAGATTCTGTTTTTCTCGTGCACGTTCCAGGCAGTTCACGTAGAACACCCAGCGGCGTGGACGTGGCCTGAGCCCGGCAGTTTGATCAGTGCATTCGTGCGAATTTGAAGAAGTTTGCCTGCGTTTATCCTCGGAGTCACCCTGGCTGCACTGAGGTTTATCGTTTAAACCGCCGACGACAAGAAAGCCCCGGCCTTGTAGGCACCTCCGGACACGGGAGTTGCAGAAGATCAACGGCAAGGACAGGATGCGGGAATGTCATCTGTATCGTGACCAGGCACAGGTGTCACGACTCGCGAGGTCGCACGCCTTGCCCGGAGTCTCAGGCATTCGGCCTCCGCCGGCCTTCTTCGTCTCTTGAAGTCCGCCAGTGGGCGTCAGACCGTCCCGAGGTGGATAAATCCACCATCCGAGACATCAATGGCATTATGTCACTGAAGAGGATGGCCGCAGCCTCGGCAAGGGTCCAGTTCCGCGAACAACCTTCCCAAGAAGCTAAGTTGGTGCAGGTGGACGTTCTTTGGATGGTTAGCTGCGACAAGTGGCAGCACCCAAACATTCAGAGGCTATGGGCCTGCAATTTGTTTGGTGGTGACTTGATGCTGGCACAGTGCATGCTCGGCAATGCCCAGATTCGGCAGTTCTGGCAGGGAAAGGTACCCAACCATGCATGCATGCTGGCTGAAGTGTTTGCTCTCACTCGCCTTACCACAATGTCGCAAGCAGATACACACTCGTCGGTGTTGGAAGGCTTTTTCAGATATATCATTCCCCGTGGTGTGCTCAGCCTGCACTGTCTGACAGTTGGTCAGTTTTGACGGAAGCCTCACCGGTGCTTGTTTGCATGATGAGTTGCAGTGGGGCTGAGGACTCACATCATTATGCGGATGGAGTGAGCCAATTGAGTGTGTGTTTGCACCCAGAGCAGAGCGGCATTGACTTCCTCGGCATGAGACGAGAAGATTCAGGTACTCCGGCGCTGGAAGTCTCCATGACCGCCTCGTCCGCAGGAGCCGAAGGCCTTGGTCCTTAGCTTTCACGAAGCCTTGTGAGAAGCACAACCATGGCCATGCTCATTCGGCAGACAACAAGGCCACTGTCGTTTCTGAAGACGCCAGCTCCTCGGTCAAGCATGCACGCGGGAATGGAGCCAAACTTTCCTCGCCCGTGTTTCGACAGCCTCTTGTGGTCTCGACGTGTTTCCTGCTCAGTGATTTGTGATTGCGTTGAGGTCACAGATCTTGCAGCAGATTTTCAAGGCGGTGACCCACCTCCACCTGGCTGCAAAGGTGTGCGATACACAGACCCCTCCAACCGTCTGACATTGACGCGGCACCCTATAGAGCCACCGGCCAAGGTGCCACAGAGATCTCAAACCTGAGAACTTTGACTTGCACGAGGCCGGTGTGAGCCTTCGGCTTTTTTCCTCGGTCGTAAGTTTCGCTCGGATACACCCCGCATGTGCGATTCATAGAGGTTGCACCCAATCTGCAGTGTTCCCTGCAGACTCCAGACATGGTGACGGTGAAGTTAACGGGCTTCCAGATCGCTTTCGTCCTGGAGGCTCGCTGTGCTCCAGTGCTTGTCGTGTTGAGTGCGGGGGCTGTCGTCAATCTGCGGCGGCAGCTTAATCTGTGAGATAAGCATTTATCACCAGAGCTGCTGGTAGCATGACGAGGCTTTCGTTTCTATCTGCGTTGGCAGCGGGGCCTGGATGCCGACCAGACCCCAAATGAATTGAACTATCGAGCAGTCCCCCTCCCCCTTCCTCACTCTGTTGATGAGTTGTTGATGTGGTTGGATGCACTGTGGGGTAACGATGCCATGTCTGTTTCCCCTACTACGTTGCTGGCGATGTTGTGAGGATGCCTGGATGCCTGGACCTCGCCTCGCCAGCTTTTTGTTCCCTTCCGTGGCGGATGCGTTTGGATGTGATTTAATGCTTGGAGCCCGCCTCTCCAGCTCTGTTTCGCTTCTTGTCCCTGCTTTCGTTTCCCTAGCTCCGCCCCGTAAGCTGGTTGCCGGGTAGCTCGTATTCCGATTTGCGCAGCTCTACTCACTTGGTTTCAACCGCCCTCCAGTGTCATGGAGTTCGCGACTCCTGTTGCTGCTTCTGCAAGCTGTCAGGGGTCACGTTCGACGACGATGGCAACTGTTACTCTTGCTGCTACGTTGCCACCACCACCACAATTGAAACAAGTACCACAACAGCAACAATAGTACTAACAAACTACTAGCTACTAACTACTAACCTACCACCTACTGACTACTAACTACCAACTACACTAGCTAGTATCTACTACTACTACTACTACTACTCCTGCTGCTGCTGCTACTTCTACTACTACTACTACTACTACTACTACTACTACTACTACTCCGACCACTACTACTACTACTACTACTACTACTACTACTACTACTACTACTACTCCGACCACTACTACTACTACTACTACTACTACTACTACTACTACTACTACTACTACTAGCGACCCCCCTACCAACCACCTGAACCCATCATCATCATGATCATCATCAACTGAAATGACAGTTGCAGAAGATGCAGGGGCTCAGGCCCCCCCCCTATCTGTGACAGCTGCAGAAGTTGCCGAGGCTAACTTGCCTTAACCGTCACAGCCGGTGAAGTTGCAGAGGCTCAGGCTCCAAAACTGCGACAGCAACTGGACTTGCAAACTCGACGGGGAAGAAACTGCCAAACCGCAGGTGGTCGGATAGTACGAAAACGCTGTAAGTAGCGTGCAAAACGCAGGTGCTGACAAGAAGGTTTAAACACTCTCAAATGCCAGCTGTACGTGGGAGGAGATCGCAAACACCCTAAAGCCCAGACCTGGGCGTAGGAGGGTTTGCCTTTGAAGTGGTGTGTGGTGCTCAAGGTTGCCTGTGCGTCATCATCCCCCCCCCCGCCCCCTCCGGAAGCAACAACGGTGCTAAAGAACGGTGGTCAAGGACCACGACATGACGAAAGTACTTGAAATACCGAGTTAAAAAAGGTTGCCCCCAACCAATTTCGAGCTTTCGCTGAAAACCCTCCGTAAGCCCAAGGTCAAGTTCACAAAGTCAAGAGGTAGGTTTGGTGACTATATAAAATGGTCCGACATCACGAAAGTACTGTAAATTCCGAATAAAACGGCTCGTGTGGAGATATTGTTCGGGGTGTCGGCGAAACAATGTCGTCATTCTACCCCTCGTCCTCCATCCCCGCACCCCACCTAAAGTGGAAAATCCGAAGCTCGCGTTTGCAAACTCGACAAGTCGATTTTGAGTCCTCATAAGACGTTCCTACATGACGAAAGCACTGTAAATACCTAGAAAAAATGGACGCGTTCGAGAAGAGTATTTAGGACGGGTGATTGGCAGGGGGCGCGCCCACCACCACCACCGCCACCCACCACCCACCACCCACCACCCACCACCCACCACCCACCACCCACCACCACCACCAACCACCACCCACCACCCACCACCCACCACCACCACCACCCAACCCACCACCAACCACCCACCACCACCCACCACCACCCACCACCACCCACCACCACCCACCACCACCCACCACCACCACCACCACCACCACCACCACCACCACCACCACCACCACCACCACCACCACCACCACCACCACCACCACCACCACCACCACCGCTGCCACCGTGTTATCACCGTACACCACTGTAACAGATGCTCCGCTATCCTTTTCTGTTGATCAGGAGAACCCTTGTTGTTGGCGCTGATATGGTCGTGGCTACAACTGCAGCCAGCACTATCAGCACCATCATGTCTATGATTGTGCCGGGTTCATCCTTTTGCATTCTCTTAGTTTGTCCTGTTGCCTGGTTGCTACGCAGAATAGCCTAAGCACAATAGCCTAGTGGCAGAAAGCTGCGACCCCAGTGTTCTGTGTCTTGGACAAGAAGCCTCAAAAACTGTACTGATCCTTGCTGAGATGGCAGGAAAACTGTAACGCAGGACACAACCCACAGAAAGAAGAATTCAAGCGATTCACAGGAGCCCGTGCTTTGCCACCAAAAGTGTGGGACGCTGCCCTTTGTGGCTCCAGAGGTGCTGAAGGGCGAAGGGCCTCCTGGCTGCAGAGGGCCATGCCAGGGTTGCCGTTTGCGGTAGCTCGAACGGGGCGAGTTGGTCAATTCTGAGGTATCACGCTCTGCCCGTGGACCTCTGGGGCCGCTTGGGCAAGCAAAGTCGCCTTACACGTCAGGTGACTTGGTGTGTCTTCCCTGACAACCGTCACTGTTACCTCCAATGTCAGACAGTTGGAGCCGGAACTGGACCGCAAGGTGTTGGCATTACCACCATCGAGGTGATCTGTGGCTCTCGTACAGTCGACGAGGCTGCAGCAGCATCCGGCAACTTTCATGGCGAAGGGAGGGAGCATCTGTTGTCCCTGAACGGTCTGGGCAAGAATGCCGGCCGTATGCGTGCCTCAAAGACTTGCCTGTCTGTACTAATGCGACGGCACAGCAGGCCTTGGGCATCTCGGAGGAAGACCATCCCGCTTCGTGCTCAGGTTGGCACTTTCCTCCTACTCTTCAAGGTGATCCGCGTCAAAGCATCCAGCAGTGAAACGGAACAGAACAGCTGCTGAGGCCCTTGGGTACCGCTGGCCGGATGGCTCCTTCTTGCAGAAACTCTTGGAAGGCCACATGTCTCCGACTTTGCATGCCAACCTGTGACGGAGGTAGAACATATTACAACAGTGAGGGGTGTTGTTCAAGCGACCCGAAGCTGACAGGTTTTCAGGAGCCTGGCTCTTCCGGACAGCTTCTGCGACTCGGGTTCCATTACTGGGTGCTAGTTGGTGCCAGGAATAGAGGGCCAGTGTGCATGCCTTGGTGCAGCCGAGGCAGACGCGCTGCCTGCCGCAGCTGCGGCACTTCCTTCCCTCACTGGAGCAGTTGGCTCAGTGAGTCGTCGAGCAGTAGGAATACATTTGACACAGATCGGTTGCATGATAACAACACAAGCATGGATTACAGAGGTTGCAGTCCGCACTGCATCATACTCCACCGTTTGCATGTGTAGACTGTTGCGGCAACGCGATGTTGCGTGCTGAAGTTAGGCTTACAGTGCTGGCATGTGATGTTCAGGGGCAAAGTGGGACAGAGAGTGTGCAGCCACAAACTTGCCAAATTGAAAACTTCCTGGAGCGCCCGGCCAAAGCCCTCAGCAGCAAAGCACGGACGCGAGGGACTGCGGCCCTTAACCCTACAGTCTGAGATGCTCCGCTATGTGCCTTGTTCTCCAGGCCGGTGGTGGATGGCCTGCTCAGAGTGGATCCGGAGGAACTTGTCCGTGATCGTGCGGGGGCTTCGTTCGTGAGCTTCTGCTTCGGGTGATGCTGAAGCTGGGCTTCTACTTCTCGTATCCAGTCCCCCATTCAAAGGTTGCGGCAGAAAACCCGACCGGACATGTTCTGCGATGCGTCTGCGAGGACCGATGGACAGCAACAGAGCTTCAAGCTGCACTGGAGCTGGTGCCGAAAGGCCTCCGAGCATGCGCTCGGCATGCGTGCAATGACATGCGAGCGTAGCTAGGACTTGTGCAGGAATGCAGCGGCATGCTGTGATTTCACCATTGAGATGACCGCAGTCTGACAAAGTAGCATGTGAGTCTTGAGCTCCATGAATTGCAAACACCACGTACCAAGTACAGCTACGCAGGAAGGATCAAGCCCTACACCAGCCTGTACTGCTACTTCATCCATCACATAGACCTCCAGCTTTCGGCCAGTTGAAGATCGCACTCCGATGTAAGAAGACACGAGCAAGCTGCAAGCGCATGCTTTTGCCCGAAGGCCCTCCTGCGGCGCCGCCGCCTCTCTCGCCCACGCCCCATCTTCGCCGTAGACGTGAAACCGGCCCAGAGTCTGACGCGCGGTTGCTCCCGGGATCACGAGTGCCTAGGCCACTTCCGCAGATGATGCGCAGACCTCGGAGCGGCTTGCAACGTCATGCTTGCAGATCTTGGAGCTGTCGAAGCGAGTGAAGTATCGACTGCATCTCTGTCGAGCGCAAGCCAGGGGTACGGCATGTCCTCTTAGGGGCGGGAAGGGGAAGTTTTGGCAGTTGGAAGACGGTGCTTCCCTGCAGAGCCCGTGTAAAGGGCTATGCACTTGATGGGCAAATAGCGGTAGGGTTTTGAGCGGAGGATGCGCTGCTTCAGCTTCGTGCTCGTAAGCTGCGATAACCAAAAGCCGAGCTCGGGGCTGCCCTGCCGGCTGTTGCGTCGTCGTCCAAAACAATCTATGGGACAACCAAGCCTGAGTCACCACAAAACTAGGAATCAAGAAGTCTATCTTGCCGGGCATTGACTCTACAACAGTTGCCGATCTGCTTGTTGGGATCACGTAGTAGACGCAGGGCTGTTGAAGCACAACATAGCTTGCATGGTGTACTGCTGCACGGGTGCCGATGCCCAACGTCTTGCAGGCTTCCAGACAGCGAAGACACGCAGGCCGAACTCATCGCACGAACGTGCGAGAAGCCTTGCTGCGCAGAAGTAGGCTTGATTAGGTTTGAGTCACCGATAAGCCGGCTGTTGAATGTTTTCATCATGAGCTGGTTTACCTTCCGCTCAGTCCGTCCAGATGTTGGTCCCTGCCCCAGCTGTGATGTGCGGCAAAGCAGGGTCGCATGCCTCACACCAGCAGAAGCGATGTCCGCGTGTGCTCCACTGCAATTAGAGCATGTGCATGTGGTAGCTGTTGGTTCAAACCCATGAACACCTTTGCAAATCTAAGTCGTACGAAGGTCCACAAACAATAGATCGGCGCAAGTGTGCCATGGCTCACCACGGTGGCGGCGGACATCCCCAGCAGCATGGTGGCTATGGCCTGCTGAACACCGGAAGTGACGGAACACGACAGTCTTTTTGCACCGGGTCCGGTAGCGTCATGATGTCAGGCTTCCAGCTTGGCTTCGGTTCCAACGAGCCCTGCATCCTCTTTCTGTTTCCGGGATGGGTCATGAATAATCCTTGGAAGTACTCGGCTGGATGTGTCGGTGCCTTTCTGATTCCAGTTGCGATTGTGGCGTTGCAGTCCGCTCGTGATCTCGTGGTGGAGAAAGCAGCTGCGAAAGGTCGGACCAGTGACAGTGATACTCTCTGCGAGTTCTTGGCTGCCGTCCTTTTCGGGTTGCAAATGTTCCTGGCATATACTGTGATGCTGCTGACTATGACATACGAGGCAATCATTTTCTGCTGCATTGTGAGTGGCTTTGGAGCCGCCTTCTTCGCACAGCGTCGGGCGAAGCGCCATGAGTCTAAGACCTTGGACAAGTCGAGTATAGTGGACACACAGTGCTGCTCTTCCACAGAAGATGCCAAGGCACGCGAAAAGAGGACTGCAGCGCCTGTACAGCACATGTTCGATGGTTTAAACAACGGCACATGTCACTCCCCACCTGTACAATCAGGACGGACAGCAGCCCGTTGCCCCTGTTTCGTGGTCTAAATCCAGACCCGGCAGGTGTGGCCCATGCTAGCTCAGCAGAAAAGACATTGATGCAAGCTGTACTGCTCGAAGACCAGCGGTGGACGGAGGGCAGTACTATGCAACAGTAACAATGCTCGTCTCCATCGCCTTCATCCGTATTGTCTTCGTCACCAGCATCACGACCACCGCCAACCTGCCAGTCATAGTAGTAAGACACGCAAGAGATGATGGGAGACCAGTGCGAATCATTACCTGTCAATGCCATGACTCTGATCTTGACAATGACGGTATGAAATGTGAATCATATGATCCGCTCAGAACCTAGTGCAATGTCTTGATGACGACCATCCGATGGCACTGATGCAGAGGAAAAGCAGGAGGCTAATGAGGATGTGGATGACGAAGACGATGACGATCGAGGAGCCGGAGATTGATGGTCTGAGATGGTGGATCCTACGGTTGTCAAGGGCTTAGGGGCGCCGAATGCCCGCATGCGTATTTGGCAACAGTTTTGATGGAGGGTTTGGGGAGCACCAACTCGAGTTCGCTTAAGCGCAATAACAGGCATGCGAAATAACTAATCTGGCGGCCTAGTGGGTGCCAGCCATTCAGATCGGGATCGGTTGAGGACGAAACCCACGGCGAATTCAGTGAGCTTCAAGAGGAGCAAGAGGCAGCTGCGGCCTCGGAAAACACTAGGCCACTAGGCACAGATCGAGTTTTTAGCGGATTGCCGACCTCGCATTTCGGATGTCTTTGAGGGGCTCAAGGCGCACTCAAATTTGTAGCGGTGTGATAATTCTGCATTTGCTGACACGGACGATCTTGTGCAGTGTAGAGAAGTTGGATCGGCAAGGGCCTCCAGCCTCCAGTCACGTGAAAACACTCCTCCTTCCAAAGGCGTCTCTGGTGCGCAATGAGTCTGCCAAAACTGCTGGAACGCTTGGAGGCGCGCCCCTGCCAGATATTTTGAAAGACTAATTAGTGTGCTTGATGCCACACTGTGGCCGCGGCATTGCAGTACAAGGACCAGGATTTCACGCCTTCCACGACGACTGAGGCTGTTGCCAAGTTCGCGCGAAAGTAGAGGTATCCTGAAAAGCTTTCTTTCTGTGACTCAGGCTCGTCGGAGAAATCAAGCCTTCCGCACCCGAGCCCACCGTCTCACCACTTTCCGGCAAAGCTGGAGGCTCTACTCACGAATCTGAGGAGGTGCAGAAGGTGAAAGGTGCGTGCGTGCTGTTCGTCGTGTGGCTGGGTAATGGAGTAGTGACATGGTCCGGAGTCTGCAGTCAGGGAGTTGAGGGCGTTTTCTTGGAATGTAGGAGTTTGTAGACCGGCATGGCAGCACGTAGATGAGAACAACACAAACAATCAAAAACAACACGTGTGCACGAAGTAGAGCTTGTGCCTGCTGCCAAGCTTTGGCTCCCAAGCCTCCTCCTGTGCATGTTCCTGCCGGGACGAAGAGGCATCGCAAATTCCCAGACTTGGTCAAGATGAAGGCTTCAAGGACATGCTGAGAATCAAGAAGCTGGAGGGCGAAAGGGTCCATCGACAGTCGAAGTCGGATCATGGCCAGTGCGACAGGAAGCAAAGCGCACTGGGAAAGTTAAGTTTCTTAGCAAACCTTGTGAAGGTCATGGGGGCAGATGACCTGGATGCAGAGACATTGAAGCGGCTGAAACGAGAGGCCCGATCAGGCTAATTTCCATCAGCTCGAGCCAAAGGTAAAGGGACAACGTGCTGGCGGAGACTGTAGTGTGCTAGGTTTCTTTATGACAGCAAGGCACAAGGCTTTGCCGTAGCCGGACTTCGCTCGAGCTTTGCACGACAGGCTGCCATCCGCTCGAAAGAGCAGGACTTCGAACGCCGGAAGAAGGCAGCACTCGACTTGAGCTAAAGCTTTTCAGGGCGGTGCTGGACAGGGGAAGTTAGTTATTGGGATCGTTTCTGGGTCTCAATTCAACAGGAATTGGAGACGTGTGGAATGCCAGCACTGCCAGCCGCAAGAGCGGCAGCTTCTGAAAGCCCGACAAATGATAGAGATAGATAAACCCTGAATTGTGGATTCCGCCTCAGTGGTGTCGCCAGTTTGTGCAAGGCTGAAGAGAGGAAGAAAAGGGAGCAGCTTCAGGCTGGTACATGATCACGTCTCCGGCACCTTCTTGTCTCAATCACTGAAGACTGGTAGCCCTGACTAGCAGAATTGTGACGGCTGCAAACGTTCTAGGCGCTACGGGAAGAGTCGGGCTCCCGACTCGTAGCCAGCAATTTGCAGTTCTTCGAGTGAAAGCGATGTCTCCGCATCGCCTGCATCGGTTTCGGCATGGACCGAGGTATGAAAGCAAGCAGACGAAGCGGGAGCAAGAAAGGCGGCGTCCTTCGATCCGTTCTCTGTGGCTGTTGGCTGAAATCCTCCTGCGGCGTCTGAGATTTGAACCCAGTGTCGCACAGTCCTCGACATGGGAGGCTGAGCCTGCTACAGAAGCAGACTGAGCTGCGAGCCAGAAAGAAGGCTGAACCCTTTCTCCGCACGGGATGAAACGGTCGGGGGCGAGCGCATGAAGGGATGACCGCCATGCCAGTTGTAATCATCTGGGCTCGTACTTCTCGCATGGACAGGCGGAGAATGACCGCTTGAACCAGCTCAGAGAGAAGAACATCTTAAAGAGACATCAGGCTCCGACAGTGGGATGGCAAAGCATCGGGATCGGCATCTTCGTTAGGGCCATCAGCAAAGGCTTCAGCGAGTAAGTCCCAGACTTTGGGTCACCTGTGGTTTGCGGGGCTGCGTGTCGCTGTGCGTGGTTGAAGCATGTCTACAGTCTATGCCGGGTTCCATCTGAGATATGCGACATACCGACATACGAATGATACTAATAGTCATAGTAACAATGATGATCTTAACATTAATCATCGTAATAATGGTAATCCTAATCTTAATCAAAGTAATAATGCAATCATAATAATCATAATACTGATCTACCGCAAAGAGATGAGGTTCTCGCGGGTTTCACGAGCGGCCTCAGGCTTGGCGCAAGCGTGCGGACGCCGAGATCTCGCACATCATCGAGGACCAGGCGGGCTTCAATGCCTTTCTTCCGACCTCATTGTTATTAGTATTATTCTTAATGCACATATCACTGTTTGATTCTTATTCCTGCTATTATTCTTATCAGCATCACCACGACGATTAGTCGCATTATTATTTGCACCTGTATCATTCCTAGTCGTATCGTCGCAGGTGGCTGAAGAGGAGCGCTTGGAGGAGGTGGGCTGTTCTTGTGAGACAGCTTCGCAGTCAAATTCTCGTCGTTTGGCAGATGGTGGGCATCACATGCACCCCTGCGTGTAGGACGATGGGCGAAGGCGAAATTGTCATTGCATATCTGTTTGGCAGCCCTTGGGCTTAGAAGGCCATTTGAACCTCAGGTCGGAGCTGTTTCTTTTCGGGAATGGCGGGGTTCTTTGCCGTGCTGGCATCTGTGCTCGCTGTCGCGGAGACATGCAACATGCCGACCTCAGTAACCGGTGTCCTCTCTGATGGGACCAACATAGTCAATGCAAGAGATGTGGCGGTTTCGGGATCCTATGCATATGTGGTCTCCACTGGTATAGATGGACTGTTGGTCGTGGACATCTCTGATCCGACCAGCCCGACGGTGGCGACAAGCCTTGTGGACAGCACAGACATGGCTGCACCAGAAGCTGTGAAAGTTGTGGGCAACTACGCGTACGTCATCGGCTACACTTCCGATTCTCTCGCCATTGTGGATGTCAGCAACCCAACCTCCATCACGAAGGTCGGCAGCCTCAACACAAGTCCCTCCGGTGACATGAACGGAGCTCATGGTCTGGATGTTGTCGGCAACTATGCTTACGTGGTGAGCAGGCTCAAGAGTTCCTTGACAATCATCGATGTTACCGATAAGACCAACCCTACCTACCCAAGTGGGCTACCTATGGGAAGGCAGCGCGCGGATGACTTGGCCTCGGGATGTCGTCGTCTCCGGCAACTATGCCTACCTGACGGCAAGCTCGCAATCCTATGTCACTGTGGTGGACGTGAGCGATCCCACCACACCTGCCGTCGTTGGAGATGTGCAGGACACCACGAATATGGCAGGTGCTTGGGGAATTGCTGTGGCGGGAAACACTGCCTTTGCCACTGCCCAAAGTGGCGACAACATCGTGTCAGTTGACATCTCCACAGCCGCAAGCCCTTCCGTCCAGGATCATCAGGGAGGCTCCTCCGTGATGAACGACCCTCGCGCTTTGGTCATCGACGGGTCAACGGCGTATGTGAGCTCAACCCAAACGAATGCCGTCGTGGCCGTGGACATATCGGATCCAACGAGCAGCATGGTTTTCTCTAATACCGATATCTCTAAAGGTTTTGGAGGAAAATCAAGGGTCTTGAGTGTTGAGAACTCAGTTCAGGCGTCGGGGTGTTGGTTATTACTTTTCCCAGGTTGGGGTGCAAGACTACCGAAGCACCGGCAAATGGACACTGAGTGGTGAAATGTAATGCTCCCACACGATCCCGTATTGCCCAGTAGAGGAGCGGGGAAGTGGGAGCCACGGTCAGAGAAGTCTAGCTTTGTGCAAGGTCACGCCACTTCTGCTCTGTAATGCTCTGCGAGGCTCTCAACTTAATCGGTTCTTTGCTCAATCGCCTGTTTTGCTAGTCGGCGCAAGCTCACGGACTTGCCACAGACTCCGCTAGCGGCTTCTCGTGTTCAATCCTCTCCCTAGTTGATGTACTTTCACAGACCCTTGCCCAGCCTGGGGACTTTGGGTGCTCTCTCAGCGGGACCTGCAGTTGTTGGGCAAGAGACATGTCTTGATCACATCACAGCCCCATACAGAAAGGAAGGAGTCTACCAAAGCAAGTTGGTCTCGGCATTGGCCACGCCTGCTGACACTTCATGCGCTGATCCTGTGTCGAAGCCTTGTGTCACCAACCCAGCCAAACATGCCCCAGCCTCGAAAGGGCATAGCCGCAGGAACCTTAGAAGAGAGCGTCTTCGGTTAGCAGGATATGTGCAAAGCTTTTCCTGGCTCCCGGATCCCCAAACGCAGGCATGCAGGTGCAGGATTCACTCGTGGATTCGACGAATCTGAACACTGCCCGGGGCATCACGGCGGCTCGGACGTCAACTTGCTAATCCGGAAAGAAGCTGCTGTAAAGGGTGACGGTCAGGCGCATAATTGCCGGAAATGCTCAAAGGGAGAAGCCCCTCTTGAAAATCTTGCGCCTTTGAGCTGTTTGTGCTGTCGTTTAGGGAGTCCTCTTTCAAGTTTTGGTTGTGTTGGGGAGATTTAAGTCGTGTTTGCCTACAGCCCGAAGTCAGCCCAGAAAAAGGCATTTGCAAATCCTGTTTCTGCGATTCTAGTTCCATATTATGTCAGCAGTTTGCCGATCTGGCACACGGTGCTGTGCAAAGTTTCATGATAGCTAAGCCGGCTTGTTGTGATCATAGGACGCCGCAGTCAGGTTGACTCTAACTACGTGTACGTGGTGGCTGACAGCAAGCTAGTGATCATGGACAAATGCACAGCCTCGACTACCACATCAACAACCTCTGTGTCGACATCCACATCCGTGACCACGACAGACTCAACCTTGACAATGACATCTACATCTTCCACAATCAGCACGACTACATCGACCTCATCTTGGTCAACATCCACATCCCTATCAACATCCGAGACAACTGCAACAGTGACGTCAACGTCTTCTGTTTCGACATCATCCTCATCCACAACTTTGTCAGCCACTCTGTCAACAACCGTGTCCACAACTTTGTCAACACACTGTCAACAACCGTGTCCACAACTTTGTCAACCACTTTGTCAACAACCGTGTCAACATCCACAACTTCCACGCTCGTGACGTCAACCTCTACACTACCGGCCTTTGCCAATGAGACGAATGACAACGAGTCTGCGGGTGAGAGCACCAATGTCCCCAATGAGACGTTCCTGCCCGACGTAGAGTCGAGTACGACAAGCATTGTGGCTGCGGACTCAGGGGAAGATGCAACAGCTACAACATCCTTCGACGTCCCACTCTTTCTGTTGGTTGTGGGCGCTGTCGCCGTTGTGGTGGCTCTCGTTCTCCTTGGGTATTTAACCTTGCGGTTCCAGGCGCGGCAGAGCGACTCGTCTCAGTCTCCAGCTGAAACCAGCGTTTGACCTGAGCCTGCTTTTCCATTCTCGTGCCGCCAAATGTGGCGGCGACACGAATCCAGGCACGCCAAGCGTTCTGGAAATGCGACTGTCTCCTGTAAGGCCTACAGGGTGACGGCCAGTTGGAACTCAAACCTCTCTGTCTTCGAAGGAGCAGCAGCAAGTAAAGCCGTAGTAGAGTTGCCACGACGTCAGGTTTAGCCAGCCACCTCCGGAAGCAAGGCGATTAAAATTCCTGCACCTCATCAAAGAAAGAGAGAGTGCTGAGCTCCCGTTTGTACGGATGTGATCACCTCTTGCAGCTTTTGTTGCCGGCCACATTTCTCCTTTGTGCACCGGGCATCACCGGGCCTTGCGGGTTTAATTGCGCATCCCATGCTTGCCCAATGAAGGTTTGGTTGTGACTGCAGATTGAATCATGAGACTGCGGTTTGATTGTGATTACATGTCATTATTGTTGGCAGTCTTCGCGAAGCGAAGCGCCTATTGTACTGGGCAGGGCTTACCGCAATTCATCTTCACATCCCGCAGGGAGCTGCGCGCTGGAAGGACCGTGCGCTGAATGAAAAATGCGAGAATTGAAAGTTGCCATAATCAGGTACTAGTAATCTTCTGGCGCCAGCGTCACACGGTTGTGGGAGCTGCATGTCCTGTTTGAGCTCTGCATGACCACTCAACTGCCAGTTACTGGTACTGGACATTGGCATAGATGTGGGTTTTTGAAGAGAAGAGTACGCTCGGAGAAGGCAATGCGCCAGGGAGGCACTACTCAGAGGCAAGGGTAGCATGTGCAAGCCGCCAGCTTCTGAATCACGGCAGGCCATCGCAGCTGCACGACAGAGAAAGCTTGGTGCCGAGATGTGCTGAGAAGGGTAAGGGACGAAGCTTCTTGCGCTTCTTCGACAGAAGTTGTCACCTAGGTGCTCAGTGTGTTGTCAGAACTTTCTGAATCGAGATGCACCGTGAGTCCAGCCTCTTCTGGAGTTCAAGCCAAAGCTACTGTCTTTTTGAGTGCTTCTATGCTCCAAGGTTCGATAGGGCCGAGGGCATCCGCCAAGAGGCCGGCTTGTGATTGAATTGGAATCTCGCCGTGATCGTGCAATATGTCTTCACGGGGACGGTTGCCTTCTCTCAACTCCACACTGCACCGTCGCACCGCAACCTTCCATTCCATCTCGGCCAGAAAATGGACAAGCAGACGCGCCAAGAAGAGTTGGACATGGCACGTCGCCAGACTCAGCTTTTGCTGAACAGCTTGCAGCAGCTACTTGCCACGGAATGTACGGATCGGCATCAAGCATCGTAGCCATGAAGATGCTAGGAACGAAGAATCATTCCGTGGAGTGACCTGCATGCAGCCTCTGCAAGTGTGATTTCCGGACACTGCTCTGCGATGCAGCATCTCGGATCGTTTAATGTCTCGCTTGAGCCTGGACAGCGCCGTGGCAGCTGCGTGGCGATGCTGCAAGATGGTTGGTTCCTCCTGCGACAGCCCCACCCAGAAGGGTCCCCTGAGCTAGTGTCTCTTCCCACGTTGGTGTTGTTCCTTCCCGGGAGGATGGCGATGACACACTTCCGAAAATGTCTTGTGGCATATTCCCACCGCAGCGATGTAGCGACTATGAAACGCTTCGATGACACAACACATAGAAAAACACAGACTGTGCATTGCCCGGCACAGGCATGAAGTCATTCGAAGTGTTTCGAACTGAGCTGGAGATGCACGGAGGGCACCCGGATGGCTGGCTCAGGTGGCTGCCAATTTCGTCCTCAAGCCCCTGGAAGGGGAGAGGCGTTGCAGCATGGAAGACCAGAAAATCCAGGTCTGTGCTGCTGGCTCTGCGTCAACTGCTTGCTCCTTGATCGTCCCGATGTGCTGCTCAGTTTGCCTTTTGGGCAGGATGCCATGCTAGCAGAGATCGCCAAGATGCAAGGCCCGGAAGGCGGTTCGGCTGCATGCCTGCCATCCCATGGCCTCCTATGGGTCCAAACTCAACACTGTCTCAACACTACTTTGTGCTGCTGGCTGTACTCAAGAAGCTCAGGTTTTGATTATGTGGTCATTTGCTGCTCGGACCAGAGCGCAGAAGACTTCTGGCAGGCCACGGGCAACAGGTAGTCAGTACTTTTGCGAAGCCGTGGGGAAATGCTGCCAGTTCTCTACACGGGAATCTGTTTTGCGACGCTTGATTATCATCTTGTGTTGGCAACGTGAACTTCGCAGGCAAGGCTGACTCAGACCATTCGGCAAGTCACCGGATCCAGCAGCACAGTTATTTGTGTCCACGAGGAAACGCGATATGACCAGCTGTGCTCAATTAAGTGTCTCTGGGAACGCGATTGGAATGGTACGCTCTTTCGGTCTTGAGGACTGGAATGGTGGGGCCGGCAACGGCCTGGGCACCCTCTATGCGTTCGTCAAGGAAACCGCTGACCCACTGAGCTTTGCAAGCAGTGCCACCACAGGAAAGGAAATGCGTGTCGTGCTGTTCGCAAACAACTCTTGCTCGGCAGGCGTGCTCAAAAGGCAAGGAGATGGGCTTCGACTTGGCCCATGCAATGCGGCAGCCTGAGCAGATGTTCTGAATGAAGTATTGCCACGGTCTACAATAACAGAAGCTACCATGACATTGGATTCTTAATGATGCTTGCCCTCAGGCATGCGGGCAAATCTGTGGCGATTTACCACACCGCCGGGAAGGGAACACGTTTGGCTCCCCTGCCTGGTGCGGAGAACAACAACAAACCAGGTGCTGTGTTCCGTTGGTGTAATAGGGCTGGCGCGAAGTGCAGCTAGCCTCAGCAGCAGAATCTTGTTACTTGTAGCGGGACGGGTCTGCACAAAGAGGATCAACAAGATATCTGGAAGAAGTCTTATATACGACTACTCTGTCCGCGAAGGTGTGAAGCTGCCTGGTCTCCTGTCAGTGGCTGGCAGATTCGAGCCCATTACGGTTCTGGAAAGCGTGCTGCGTGCATCGGATGCTCTGGATTGCTTTGCCCAGGAGTACACAGAGATTCTCTGAAGTCCTGACCCCGAGGTCAAACGAGCAGTTACGGAGCAGTTCGGGGTGGTCGATGTTCTGTTTCTTGACAAAATGCAGCATCAGACCTGGCCTTGAACTCTTTGGTCTCTGAGTGGCATCTCAGGTTTTCTGGGGCGACCAGATCTTCGTGCCTTCTTGTGGTATCCAGCAGACCGACTACCCCGCCGACATACTTGCGGCCTTGAGGATCCTTTCGAAGGGTCCCGAGTAGCAGTTTCGACGAACGTTCCAGTGTGCAGTTGCGAGATGTTGCGAGCAGCGTAGCCAGCTACGAAAATGCAGGGGGTCTGTCAACGCTGACGGCTGCAGGCCCATGCCCACGAAACAACAGTGGGAGTCGGAAGCACTGCACCAGCAACCGGAGCTGGCAATAGCATGATTTTGCGATTCATGACCTCATCAGCAGCCTGAGTATTGATGACATGGTGATGACTTCCGGCCTCTATCTAAGTCTGACGTCTTCCGAAATTGTGCAGACTAGGCTTGCATGGCAGTGTCCAGGAAGAGTCACAAGAAAACAAAAAGAGCCCAAAGCATTTCGCTGCTTTGTCTTCCCCCTGGTTCTGTTGCCACATTGCAGGTATGGCCTGATTGCAGTCGATTCCAAAGGTGATGCGATGCAATTGGAGAAGGCAAGGATCCAGATTGCTTCTGGCTTCTGGGTTGTCTTGCCGAGAGTCGAAAACAGTGCTGTGACGGCGCATGCTGCACTCCGTGTGGTGCCATGACATTGTGTTCGGCGAAGGTCACCTACGACGTTGCTGTGCAGTACCTACCCAAAGACGTCGCTCAAGTGGGCACATCCTTGGGCTCGTTCTCCGTCAGAGCCTTTGGTACTGGTATCCCAAGCGGCTATCCTGAGTAGCTCAGCAGTGGCTCAGGTCTCAGCCGCTTTGATGGATGCTCTGTTGGCAGAGTTTGCCTCAGAGCTCAATGACAAGAAAGCTTGACACCAGTCTGCATGGAGAGACTGCGAGCTTGTCATGTGGAGCTGAGAAGTCTGCAACCAGGGCACGCGAAAGCGGAAACCGAGGCCTGGACTCCGATCCACATTTCTGGATGCCTCTCACCCTCAAGAAGGCCAGGGCTCGGATGAGCCGTTGCTTCAATTGCCAACACATTAAGACACGCAGACTTCTTGGGCTGTCATGTCACGCTGCAGGCTGATTACATTGCTGTGCCTGCCTCAGCCATTTGCTTGGGCAGGGCTTCGAGTCTGGCATTTGCGGTGTTCAGAGTCGCTGATGAGCTCGAAGATTGAGGGCTGCAGGTTTTGGATGGTTTTGGTTGGCTCCGGGAGTGTGTGCATAGGTGATGGGCAAGAAGGGCACGACAGCTGCCGAAGCCGGAAAGCAACCCGGCCTGGTGTATACTTCTTGTGCTGAAAGGTCCTATCAAGTTGATGTTGCTGTTGTGGATGTTTAGCCTGGTCCCGAAGAGAAGTTGACGCCGCAGCATGGTCTCCACAAGGCAACTAACGAAAGGCTCAATTTGGAGTCCTCTCTGCCAGCTTGTAGTTGGCATCTTCACACCGACAAAGCGAGAAAAGACTTCAACTTGGGCTTGAAGCATCAAGCACTACACCTTAGCGGCTACACTGGAAATGCCAGTGTGGTGCTCACTGATTGGCCACTTCAGTCTTGCTTGAATCTGGGTTGTCAGACTGGCATGCGGGAAACCAGCTGCAATGAAAAGAGTAGCATTGCAAATGATGATATGGCTTGTGTTGATTAGACTGGTGAATGTGCGCGAGCCCACGCAGTCTGTGTGGGGTCCTGTGCAGAGATTTAAGGCACTACGATCGCATGGCAGAGTTCAAGAGCAGCTTCAAGAAGACAGGCCAACAGCAAGCAGGGTCCCACAGGTGTTGAGGCATGTCACCGCTGTGACAGCGGTTGAACCGAATGCTTGAAAGCATGTTCTGACAGGTGGCATACTGGGCTGTGTGGACGTGGGGCAGCAAGACACTCGTCGTTAATGTCCGTGTGCCCTCGTGGACGGAATCCGTTGTGCTGACTGGACTGCTGACTGGTGAGTGCAGATTCATAGATTGCCACTGCGAACCTTTCGGCTCACTCCGTCCCTGAGGCCTACTGGTGGGACTATGGTCGATTAGAACTGAACCTTGCATCGATTCAGTTTCGACAGACATGACGACTCCGACATGATGGAGTCTATCTTCCCACTAATCTGCGGCACTAGCCGTGGCTGCGCTGAACTTCGGCATATCATGTCAAGCTTGTCACTAAGGTACATGAGAAACAACTTTCTCATCACAGTCCCTCGGCATCTGAGATATTTTTTCGGAGTCTGCGAGGTTGGATTCTGTAAAACACTTTTCTGAAAGTGCGAGCTTGCTCCATGGCTCATTTCACTGCAGATTGGTTTCAGAACAATCCCGCATCAGGAAGCCAACGCCAGCGCGCATGCTCTGCGAACCTTCCTCCGACTGCAGCAGCCGAGTCTGGAGAGTGATCTGAGTTTGCGACAGCAATGCCGCTTGGCCGTGCAGTCTGCGCCGCCGCCGTTAGCTAGCAGCATGCATGCCCAAAAAATGCGGTATAATATGCCACTGGCGCTCTTCGGGCAACTTGTCCTTTGCAGGTCGCTCGTGCGAACGGCATCGATGGTGCATGTGTTCCGTGCATTGACCTCAGGGAACACACTCGATGGTGTCACCGTAGACCCCACCTCTGTCGTGCTGAACTGCCGAATCGGGGCCGGCAAGATCGGGCCAGGCGCGATGCTGTAATTTCCCTGTCGTTGAGTCGTACTCTACGAAGCGATCGACTTTTGGTTTGCACTGTCATTCTCTTGACAGTCTTGACAGGCTGCGTGTTAGTCAATGTCGTGGCTCCCACCATAGACGTTGAGAACTGCATTCTGGCACCGTGGTCGGACATTGGCACGGCCATGTTTCTGATTGTATCCCTGCGCGTCAGTCGTGCTACATGCTTTCCCCCTGAGGTAAAGGTTTCGTCGTCGCGTCCCATTTCTGGAAAGGCCATGTCCTGTTGGTGTAATGGTACCGCGGCTTGAACACCATCGCTCCACTTGCCTTTCAGGCCGGCTTGCTGTACAACGTGGTCGAAGATGGCAAGGGCGACACGTTGCCCTGTGACCGAGTCCGAGCCGATGTCTTCATGCCAGGCACAGCGGACAACCCACATTGGTGCTGAAATCTGTGAATTGCCGCATCCCCCTCTCTCTCTCTCTCTCTCTCTCTCTCTCTCTCTCTCTCTCTCTCTCTCTGTCTCTCTCTCTCTCTCTCGCTCTCCATCCTGTGCACGTTTCGTTGGTTAAAAGAGGTTAAAGTCGATTAGAGCTAGCAGCTGGAGGTTCAGTCAGTTTTTCAGCAGTTGCCGCCTGAACCAGATGGCATTCACCACAAGATCTACTCGACGCCAAGCACCGATGGCGGAAAGGCGCTTGGTAAAGAAGATCCTCATGCTGTGTCTACGAGTCTGACATTGAAAGAAGCAAGTCGGTGCAAGTATCACGGGGCATATCAAACATGGTGCTGATGTGTCGAGAGAGCATGCCTTGCGTGCATCAACACATCGTAGTCGCTCTTCCATTCGTGTCTCCGGCACCGCGAGGTCTGGAAAGAGAAAGTTCAAGGAAACAATTTTAGTTTCGAGGGCATTTACAAGGCAGGAGGGTGCTGCCTGACAATGTGCGCAAGCGGCAATGGTGGTGGTAGCAGTACTAGTTGTAACAACATGCGGCTTTGGGCAGTGTCGTATGAATACCTGCTGCTGGAGGAAAGAATAATATGTGGCATGCCAACTCTTGTTCATGAAAAGACGTGAAGGCCAACCAGCCTCTGGACGTGTCGAAGTGCACAGAAGCTGCGAACTCCTCGCACGATGCTGTGGGAAACAAGGTGATGCCGCTTGGATACAACTCTGCGATTTATCTGACTGCGAAGGCTTCAACATGCTACATAGAATCATTGGAGAGTGAAGTGCGCGCAACCCAAGGCCTGTTTCTGCACTGAGCAACATCTTCATGTCCATGTACAGCTGCTGTGCCATGCGGTAACAAGGAAGTCGCAGAGGGTTCGAGTGGCGACGCCCTCTGAGGGGGCATTTTAAGGTTCGCCAGTCTCGTGCACCTCTGCTAATCACGATCTGCAGAGATGCAGGAATCGTTGTTGGTGCCAGCAGACATCTCGCACTGGCTATCCCAGACAAGCTTGGAGTCGCTGTGCAGCCTTTGTGTAGCTCGGATATTGACTACAGCCTGTGAAACAGGCCGTGCCGATCCATGCCGGAGCATGGAGATAATGCAGCCGATCATCGTGTCTCAGTAGGACAATGATGTTTCGCGAATATTCAAAGTCTCTGACATTCTCGGAGGTCTCGATTCGTGCAGCAGCTTTCCACATGCTTTCGGCAATCTCGATCGGATGCCAAGTAGCTTTACCAGCTGAGTGTTTCAGGATGTTAGAGCTAGGCTGGCATCTGCAAAAGAGGACATCACCAGAGCAAGAGTAGAAAGGCATCAGCCCCAGTCTTGGACAGATGCCTGAACAGAGGCCAAGCATCCATTGTCCTTGGATGCACGAGATCGTTTTCCTTATAACATACCAAGCCGTGTGCAAAAGAGTGCACCCGGTGTTGCGGGGTTGGAGTGAGCCAATCATGCTCGCAGAGGAGCAGTGTTGCAAACTAGGTGCGGAAGCCGACCTTGAAAGAAGTAAGCGGCGCGACCTCAAGGCTATCAACCGCCCGGTGCCTAGTGCAGCTTCTATGACAGAGTCGAAAATCGAAGCAGGACTGACAAGCGGCTGCGACTCATCCTGTCCGAGACTTTCAGCCCGAGGTGTCGATGCTTTAAAGATGGAAGCACGTGACGAATTGGAGCTCCTGGGAAAGCATTGAAGAAATAATGATCAATAGAAACTATGTAATGCCATCCGGAAGGCAACAAAACCCCGATTCAGTTTGGAAGCTGCAGTTGCTGCGGCTGCTGCTGCTGCTGCTGCTGCCGTTGTAGGTTTCTGCAACCATCTCGTGTGCGCGCAAGAAACACACAAGAGCCCGCAAGGGCGGGTGCAAGGGGTATGAAACGGTCAATCACCGGAACAGTACAAGTTTCAGCGATGTCGCCTTCTTTGCGCCTTGTCACAGGTCCTTCATCCAGAATCCGTATCCCGTGCCGCTGAAGCAGGCAACTGCAGGGAACATGTCTCTGAAGAATAGAGCCAAAGGCTCCTTCTCTCATCTACTCATAGCTAAAATAGACTCGTGGTCGAAGGGGACAGTGCTACAGCTTTCATCGTCGTCATCAGGTAGAAATCCAGAGGCCTCGATGCAACCTGCACAGCTGCCAGGTCCTAGCCGGGCGTTTGCGTCCAGTACCAACCGCCCGTGGCTGAGTCGTGTATTGCTCAGTCAAGGGCCGGCGCCACACAAGAAAGCAGCCGTAATGAGGTGTCCGAGCTGCTGGCAGCCTATAAGGACTCTTGCCAACTCTTCGACCGCTTGAACACAATATCCAAACAGAGTGTTCATGCATGCTCAATGCTCCAGAAGCTTGCAATAGGTGCCCTTAGCCCTTTTCCTTCAGGACCAGCGGGAAGAGCTCGAGTTCCTGGAAAAGGAAGACATCCCAATGCGGGCGAGCCCCGTGGTCAAGACAGTTTTGATGTTGACATGCTTCTACAGAAACGTGGGCTGCGTGATCTCTTTTGGGCAGGATTCCCATGCTCTTTTTGGGGTACCTGTGCAGGCGCAGCTGTGCAATCAGAGCATCTTTCAGTACGTCCGCGACATTCAGCTCAAAGCAGAGGCCAGTGGGGTTTCTGTGCTGCGCCGCGGCTGCGCCTTGCTGCAGTCGAAACAGTGGGGAGACCAAGGCCGAGCGGATGCGGCCGCCGGAGCCGGTGGCCGGGGCCGGGGCCTTGGAGGCTCCAGGCGCTCCCGGGCTCAGCGGCTCGGGCTCGGGCTCCTCTCTTCGCCTTTTTCTGTGGCTTCTAGCGGCCCTCGAGGATCTCTTGCGGACGGTTGGCAAGAAGAAGCAAGCGCCCAGTCGGGAACCCAGGACCTCAAGAGTGCCTCCGATCCTGCGCCACGATGCTTTGTGGTACGTTTACAACTTACTGCATGAGATTCGCACTCTCCTTTGGCACACCTGAACACTGCAGACAATGCAGGAAAGACTTACGTGTCACATCGGAAGAACCAGTCATATCATGGAGACTATGTTCTCAACTTCTTGTTCTTCTCTTTCGCCCTGCCCAGCCTCGCCGGTCAACCGGCGAACGAAGCGTGTTGGAGGGCGTGCAGCGTAGATGCACAGGGCGCAGGAGGCAGCATCCGAAGCAAACCGAGGATTGGTTGGGTAGTTATGCTAGATCGTGCATACGCATTCCTCGCTGCTACCTCTTGCGCCTTTGCAGTTTCACTCGTGCAATTGATGACCACGTGTCAGCATATTCTCTCAGTTCATGTTGCAAGACACTGCCGTGTCCAAACTCGAGGCAACTCCCCTGAACCCTTGTTTGCGTAGCTCAGTCTCACCGTTTCACGAATCCAGATGCTGCGAAAGAAACGAAGCCGTGACTGTGGAGCATGTCGGATGCATTTGGAAGGTTTATGATGCTGTGCACTTGGCATGAAAGAGGGGTTTCAGAGACAACCCTATCGGTTGTTAGCGCAACAAGACGAACACTCCAGCTGGTCAGATAGATGTCCAAGACGAGGCACGCAAGTTCCCAGTCTCCGAGTCTCCGCAGGTGCTGGAGCAGCGCCGGCAGCAGCGCCGCGTGGCGCTGCCTTTTCTGACCAGATGGCGCTGGCAGCGCCCCGGCTTCACTCTACAGGGTTGAACCAGAGTCTATAGAGACGAGTGCGAAAGATAGCTGGGCAGACGTTGACACGGCCCATCATAGCCTCTTGAGCTCAGGCGAGGAGAAGTCGGACTCTTCCAAAGCGAGCTGCCCGAGGTCGAGGCTAGGTGCTCACTGCGCGGGGAACTTGCGCTGTACGAGTCGCGCAGATGGGCGAGGGTTGTGCTAGTTCAAAGTAAGCAGCCGTGCAGAGAGCTGCCAGAGATAACTTGCGAGTCAAAGCGTAGGAAATGGTTCCTACAATTCAAAGCCTGCAAGATCCTATCGCAGACCTTCCTGTGGAGGCTGGCCAAATGCCAGCGCCCAGGGAGCGAGAGCGGCCTGCAGCTGCCGAAGTTCGGGAGGTACGTTTGGCGGGGTCGGTCCGTTCTACTTCCGCCCAATTGGAAAGGCAGCTCTTCGAAGTGCCTTCAATCAGAGTCCCTTTTGATTTTGGCTTGTGTCCTTGTTTGCAGCGACATGGAATGCACTGTGACAGTCGGCCTCGGCCTCGGGCGCGTCGCCTTCGAGCGGCGGGACTTCGCCCACAAATCCAGGCTCGGACGGTGCGGTTATTTTTGGTAGAGAGCGCAACGTTGCAGCGTTGCATATAGTGTCCCTTTCAGCTGGCGCAGCTCGAGCAGACAGGCCAGCGATCGTCGTCGTCGATGCTGCGGCTTGAGAGTGGATCGTGTCAAGTCTCTAAACTATGACGGTATCATCTCTAGAAGTGTGCAGCAGCAGCAGCAGCAGCAGCAGCAGCAGCAGCAGCAGCACCGAGGCAAGCCAACAAGGCTGTAAATTGCAGATTCTAAGCGGGGTTAGCCGATCAGCTACCCTGCACTGCTGACTCAGGCCAGTATCAACACTGCCAGGCGTTTCCTTCCGCCTGGAGGCGCGACACAGATGCGGGAAGACTCCTCACACGCCCAAGATCTTCGGGCTTCACTGGGCACTTACTACAGGGACCTAAGTAATTACCTATACTATTTTGGGGGTTCCTCGTTAGATTGATGGGGTTCCGGTACAAGGAGTTCGCTTTTTGCAGGACGTTGGCTTCGAGCTGCCCGATGGGAAGAAGCTCCTTAAGGCTCGCTCAGGGCGCCCGATGTAATAAAGGGGCCTTAAGAATTAGACTAGGGTCGTGGGGCCCATCATACCATAGTTGTTAAGGCCCCTATATGAATGGCTTGGTAAAACTTTAGCCAAGCTCGCTGTTTTTCTGGCCTGGCGTTGAGGAGATAGATTTCACCATTGATGCGGGGCGGCGGGTGGCTGCCAACGCCTTAGAAGCTGCTGCCGACGAATCTTGATCTTGATGCATGACTTCAGTGGAGGTCCAGTGTTGAGCACATGCAAGGTTGATAGACACACAAGGCCCAAGTTTGAGCACTCGGTTCGTGGTTTTCCTTAGAGCGAGCAGTGCACCGAGGTGATGGGACCCTCTGGCAGTGGTAAGTGGCCTCGACATGTTGGAATCAACTTGTCATTTGTGCTGGCACCAATACGCGCTGGAGATCGTTCAAGATCTGACTTCGTTGGCATGTCATCGAGAGGTGCACACCTGTGCGCATGTTGAAAAATTGAAAAATGTTGAAATCTCAATGCTGCAGGGATGATGACCACTCGAAATCACTCGAACAAGTGAGAACACCTGGGCACATCATCACCTCTGAGGGATCACGGTGAGTAACAAGACGCCAGGACGACCTTGCTCGGAGTTCTCAGTGGTCGAGAACTTAAACTTAGTCCCCAGAATCAAGCGCAGTGTTTGGGAGAGAGACTTCCCAAGCTGCCCAAGTGGTAAAGACACAGACATCATTTCGAAAGAGATGTCCACAAGGCCGTGCTTCTTACGGCCGTGTCTCGGGCAAGTTGACGGTGGGTGGCAGGCCTGTCCCACAGTTCCCAACGGTCACGGCAAGCGTTGGCTTTAGACATACTGCGGACAGTGCCACTGTGCCAGCGCCGTGCCCTGTGGCGCCAGGCCTGCTGACGACCTCAGGCCCTGGCCTTGGTGGCAGCTTGCAGAACCAGCTCGTCGCAGAATGTCAAAGCCGGAGAGCATGCCAGGTTTCTGCAGAACGTCACAGGATTTGTGCCGCAGGCGCCATGCGAAACGCGTATGTCACAGGGTTCCTTGAATCAGGAGCTTTGCACAGCAGCACCTTCTCACCTCACTGCCTGGTCGGCCTGGAAGGATGATGTCCTTCACGGAGAGCTCACGGTGGCGGAGAACCTGCGATTCCAGGTGGCACCTCTGAGCTTTACCTGCAAAGGCGGCAGTAGGTCGACGGTCGACTTCCGCTCGCTGCAGAGGCCTCCTTGAGGCTTCCAGCTGGACGTCCACGCGAGGAGGCCTAGCATGGGGACCATATAGACAGCTTCTGCCTTCTCTGGTCATGACGAGCGTCAGCCGATTGCAATTGCAGATGTGTACCAGGTGGATGCATGTGTGACAGCTGCAGGGCACCCAGCAAAAAAATGGACTGGCTCTACAGCTAGTCTGCCGACTGCGCACGTCCCTCTTTCTCAGGTTGCAAAGGATCTGAATCTCAGCAGCCTGTTAAATGTCCAGGGCCGAGAGTTTCTGCCATGTGAGTCTTTGTTACCACGATGCATCGAAAGCTGCTAGATGTGCAAGCAAGTCTTGTCCAGGCACGGGTGGGGACTCCTGAACGACGTGGAGTGTCCGGCGGGCAGAGGCCCTTTTCTCATAGACATATCGGGACATATTCAGCGAGTCCCCGAGCCAGATCCGTACAGGCTGCAAGCAGCATGACAACAGCAGCTTTCAGACGCGGTCAACCAAATTTGTCATTCGCGTCCCAGGAAGCGAGTCTCCATTGCAGCTTCCTCGGAAAGCCAAGTGAACGGCAAGGCTGCGTTGAAAAACAATAGTTCCAAGCGATAACCTGCATAAGTGACCGCGGCCGGTAAGCATCTGATTCGTGCAGCACGTGCAGTACAAGACTTCCCTGAATGTGTGCAACTAGGTGCTCTTGTTGAGGGTACCCTAGAAGGTAGCTGACCCAGAAGTCTTTCGCATGTGCCGTTTAAGGGCATGGAGCTGGTGGCCCAGCCCTTGCTCCTCTTTGCAGACGAGCCGACCAGTGGGCTTGACAGCACCACAAGTCATGAGGCGGCACAGCTGCAGTCGCAGCACTTCTGAATGCATGTTCAGACGATTCGGGCGTTGGAGTTATGTTCGTGATGACATATGCTGGGATGCCGTTTTGTCTCAGCGACTTGAAGACTCGAAGCACTAGATGCGCCCGTCGCATTCTGTCAAGCACGCCTGAGCAACCTTCCAGGTCGTTCGATGCCTGAACGGTGCAGCTGCTTGCGCCCTGGAAGTTTGAACAGGGTGATTGAAAGATTCGTAGGCTTTAACAGCAAAGCCGGAACTGAGTGCATCGAACAAACTGCGCAGACACGCTGTTGAATGCTTATTGTTGTTGTGTCTGTGCATCTTGCCACATCGTGTAGAAACGAAGACAGCAAGCATGTCAGCCTATTCAGCTCGCACATGCTGGATTTCGTAGAGCTACCTCGAGGTCGAAACACTGGTATATTGTAGTGGCTCGCCATGCCTGTGGTTACCCAGGCAAGGCTGAATTCTACAGCGCGGGGCACAGTTCTACAGTGGTTGGCTTTATTGAGCGAAGAACATCGATGGCTAGCAGAGGCATTTGTCATGGAGTGTGCGCAGTATCTGCACTTAAATGGGCAGGTCGTCGCCGTCATTCATCAGCCGCGCTACGAGACACTGCGGCTTTTTGACGATCTGGTGCTGCCAGGAGCCGAGAGCATAGCAGGTGCCAGAGACTCACACAAAGCAAGCTGTGCTGCTCCCCATTTCGTGAAGGCAAACTCGACTTTACCATTGCTTTCTTGATTATTCTCGAGCTTGCTTGTAAGGCTGGCCTACGGCGGTTGCTTGGTCTATGCTGGTCCCACGGAGGCATGGGCCGGAACACTCGTTGAAGAATGCTGGTTCTCCAAGATCGCGCCTTTTCTCGCGCCAACCTATTGGCATCAACACCGGCCCGGTAGTGATGGTGGAATTCACGTTGGTTGATGATGCGATTGTGCTAAGTCACAGTCCGGGCGCAGATGTTTGCATAAAGGGAAGATCAAGAAATCACGTGCAGGACGCTGTCGAGCACTTCAAGACCCGCTTGCATGTGAAGCTGCCATGGTTTTGCCAAATTTTCCGCCAAAGGTCACCGTTCCCCAGTTTCCCTGAATCGTCTGTCACGACTGTCCTTAGCCGTTAATAGCATGTTCAAAACAAAAATCTCAGGGCAGGCTATGCCTCGTTGCCAGGTGACCTTCTCAAACAACACCAATCCTGCGGACATTCTGTCTTTCACTCAGATCCTTGAGCCCCTGCATGTATCATGTCGTCCATGGAAGTCTCTGTACCAGCCATCTGCTTGCACCCATCGCCTGCTCTGAGTCTCTGGCGCTGCTTCTCCCTCTTCTTCAAGCTCAGAAAGCAAGCTGTCCCGCTCTATGCATGCCCTTCCTGAAGGTTGGACGCCATTCAGCCACCCATCAATGATCCTGAGGCTGCCCAAGATCTGCATGAGTGCATATTGGGTATGTACATATCTCATATGTTGGATGTATAACATGGGCGCGCTTGTTGGGCACAAGGGGACAGGACTGACGTTTGGGAGGACAGGCAATGCTGGCAGCGCAACGTAAGTGAAATTAAGTTTACTCCTTTGTTCATTGCAAAACTGTAACGACATTGCTGCTTGTCTGAGGCACAATCTTTTAAAAGCCTCCTCAAGCAGCAACAGTTTAGAGTTATGCTGTCGAAAGACTTCGGAAGTGTTGGCCCGTTTGCACCCAAGACATTGGAAGATAAGATAAAAGTGCAGCTAGTTTGCTTGAGAGCGTGTATCTTCTTGCACTGCGCAGAAGTTTTGTCTGCATGTTGTGAGGCCGCTTGGAAGCGCGTTCTTGCCGTATTGTGGCGCACCCTACCAAACTTTGTGATACTGTCTGCTGTGTGCGTGCGAGGTTTGCGCAAGTGCATGGAAATCCTGCGCGGCTTTGCAGGAGAAACCGATTCGATGAGGGCCAGACAGTGCTAATATGAGGTGATGTTTCAGACGTATGTTCGCCTCACGGAGCAGTGTGTCTTGCGAAAAGGGGGCTCCCCATGGGCTTGAACATGCAGGACAAGGTGGAGCAGGTGGTATTGCCGGCCAGCATCTTCCGTCGCACTCGCCAGCCTTTCTTCCGGGCCGCCACAGTCTCGGGACTTGTTACAGTCTTCAAACCATCTGACCACTGCCACTGCCCACAAGTGTAGACTGCTCGAGGCAGCAAGGCTCAGCGCCGGATGCCGAATCCCTGGCAAGGTCTTGATCTACATGGACCGCTCCATGCTGCAAACAATCAGGGCGCGTGGCTCTCAGCAGCTTGCATGGTCGATTCCATGAGATTGAGCATGACGGGACGACGGGAATGCAGAGTCGGGCCGAACCCCGCTGGTCTCTGGCACATCCGTGCAAGTCAGTAAGTTCCAAGAGCTTAAGTGACATAAACATATCACGACTTCCCCCGTCCTTGCTTCATGTCATCACATACCTCACATTGTGAGCAATGGCAGCACTTATTCCTTGCAGTCGGCGCAAGCGATTCCAAGGTACGTCTCTCTGGCCATTAACTACAGCCTGTGCTGTGTGGCTGTGCTGCTGCTTTGCATGATCCTCACCTACAACCGCCTGGACTGAGTGAGAACGCAGTTGCGCAAGTCTGACTCCGCGGCAGGTCACTTTCCTGGTCGCATGAGTGCTCTGCCTGCACAGGACCAGTTTCTGATGCAGTCAGCCCTGGCTGCGCTCTTCCTCATGCTGCTTCAGGTCCGGAGGGTCCCAGGGCATGTGGCCAGCAGACTTGACGGCTTTACATTAACTCAAAGGCTCTACTCGTACAGGAGCACTCCCAACATGCTAGCTCCCAGCCCTTTCCTTCTATGCGCACCCACGAAGGGTGTTGCGGCGCAACAAGTCTTCGGCCGGGGGCCCGGAGCGGTGTGGCAAGCGTTTGGGGCGTTTGGATTGGAGGGTCGCTCCTTCCATGGATGTACCGCTTCTTTGGAGTCTCTGCCACATCGAATGCTGTTGATATGAGAGGCGAATATCAGAGGCGGGTCTAAAGCATAACCAAGACGGAGGCAGCTATAGTCCTTAAAGGACGAACTGTCACGAGATTACACAGCGACGCTTTCGAGCCACAGGCCTTGAACCTATTGCCTTGCTAAAAGGGATGTCGTCTCATTCCTGGACATGGTGCAACACGATACAGTCCGTTCTTCCTCCGTCACATCGGATGATTTTTTGGACTACGATCAAGCAGCATGTTGGCACCTGCAAGCGTGATTGCTCATGCTGCGCCAATCCAGGCGCTGATTTACTCACCACCTGGCGAGAAGCAAGAGAGCGCTCCTCAGTCAAAGGTGGTATCTGCTGTTCAGGCCCAAGGAGCTTCGGATGTTTTTCAGGATGATCGTAGACGTTGCGGTGCTGACACGCCATCGACGGTCAGACCGCACCAAATGTGGTGATGCACCTGTGAAGACTTCGGATGTTTGAATTGAAGAAGTCCCGTGTGTTAGCTATCAGAAAGATCAGCTTGTTCTACTTTTCCCAGTGTCTCACGAGTTCTTGGTGCGGCCGCAAACACCAGAGATCACACTCGCCGCAGGTCGGGATGCCGATGGTTGCTTACTTCGTGGCCAAGGATCTAACAGCTTGCATCGAGGCCGCCCTTGCAATGTGGATGCCATGAATTCGCAAAGAGAGCCGATGGCGCACCCTGACGTCGAGGTCACGTTGTCGTCAGCAGTCTTTGCAGCAGCCTATGGCTATGCGAGTGGCAGCCAGGTATCCTTGCTCGGGCCTTGGCAGACAGGCGAACATGGAGCACCCTTGAGCTCGGCATGAGAACACGTTGTCCGACTATAGCAAGGCGCCAGCTCTTTGCGGGGTCTTGGGCCTTTGTCTTCGCGGCTGGAACCCCAGGACATGGTCTAACCTGAAGAGTCTGCAGCCTGAGTTCCTGAGAGAGTCTTCGACATTGTCTGACATGCTGAGATCTTTGGCCTCAACTACATCTTCAGCATCATCCTGTCACCAGGTGGACCAACGAGAACATGTCATGGCTATCGCAGCCGTAGTAGGATCGTTGGATGACGTCCCGGGTATGACGAATCATCCGACTGAGGCTGTCCAGACAAATGTGCTAAACGGGTGCACGAGCCTGGTGCTGACTGCAGTCTCCAGTTGCCTTGTCATAATTCGGCTCTTGCTAACCCAACTCACATGCCAACTCCGCAAACTACCGCAGGCTGATGAGAGTTCTAGTGCGCCGGTGCACGTCTGTGATCATGAGAGTTCATGTGAGGGCGAGGGGTATGTGCAATATGTCAACTGTTCTATCACGCGATTTCGTGTGAATACGAAGCAGGCACACACTACTGTGCACTCATTACACACTAGTTACTCACTCTGCAAACCCTGAGTAAAGGGAGGTGCAATATTACAGACCATCTCCGCGATTCAGCAGAAATTCATGGAGCCAAAGTTTCCTTAATGAGAGATAATGAAGGGAACTAACCTGCCACAGCGCAGCTGTGATATGGCGTCGACCTTCAAGCTGCTCGCCAGGCGCAGCGCAGATGAGCGCAGTTGTTACGTCGTTCCTCTCCTTCTGCACAGCCGGCGTCTACCAGCGTCGGACTTAGAGCGCTGGACATGAAGGCTGCACTGCTGATGATGAATTCTTTGTTTGGTTGCGTCACTAGTGCGGTCATGTCGCAATCACGAGTTTGGTGGTTTCCCTGCTATTCCTTCTGCACACGGCCAGCAATTAAGAGAGTGATGTAGTGCCATAAGCAGTTTCTTGCGAAGATCTCATGCTGCTTATTTCTGGATCGTGGGTTCCTTTGGCAATTGTTGCCGCTAGTTTGCATAGTTGTAACTTCGGCCCCGTCAATCAGGATGTTGTGGCTACCCCTGTCAGCCTGTCAGAAGCGCTTTGTGTAGGTCCGCTATCTCTGAACCGTACTGCTATTCCACGTTTGCATGGCGCCTGTGCTGGTGCCTCAAAAGCAATGAAACTGAAAATCCCCCTGCCCCCAGCAGGCAAAACTTGGGGACAGCACGTTAATGTACTGCTAGTGCTGGTACTGTTGAGCAGTCATAGTTTTACTAGTTACTAGTAGGACTCGTCGTCGTAAGGCTGATCGCACAAGCAATACAGGAAGCATGAGTCCTTCTACAAGTGCCAGTAGCTTTTAGTCGTACAACACCGTTGCATGTAAGACAACCCCGCGCCCGCCCCCTCGGTCTTATCGGTCATCTAAATCTAGTCGAGTCGGTTGATTTGTAATTGGTTACCAACATTACAACCATAATTTGCCAAGCTATTATTGTGTGTGTGGGTCTTAACAATTCGGTGTTTTTGTGAGCGTGCTTCCGTTGCAATTTCAGCACCGTCTTCCTCTTCTGTTGCTGATACTGCTACTGCTACAGGTGTAGACAGGTCCTCATGTGGTGGGTAGGGACAGCGCGGGGCTTTCCGAAGCCATGGTCAAACACAGCATATGTTACTCGCAAGCGTTCTTGGCTTTGAATGGGCATGCAAGGGAAAGGCACAGTTACAAGTGTGTCTATCTTGCAGGAGCTAGGGTTCCTGCTTCGCTTAGCTCGTATTAGGAACAGTGCAAAGATGCTGAAACCTCCTTCATTCATCATGTCCGGCAGTTTTGCATTCTGTCCGGAGCACAACTAGTTTGCCTGCTCTCTCAGGCCACAGCTGAATGAGATGGCCAGTATGTTTGAAGGACGAGGTCTGTTTTCTTGCAAGTTCATCCTTGCTGCACCTGCCAACGTCACAGATGTGCTGCTAGCATGTCGAACGCAATGGTTGGCTTAGACGTGGAACTTGTGCTGCATATTGTGAACGATGGTACAACTGGTGTGCCCATCAGCATCCAACAGCCATAGGCAACTGTCTAATGTCTGGACAGGCTGGATGGTGCCAGCATTGAGTCCGGTTCGGTGGCTGTGGGGATACTTGCTCACAGCTGAGGCGCTGGGAGGAAATTGATGTTAAGATCAACCACGTTCCACTGAGACTTACGTGCTGGGCCGTGGAAGACATCTGAAGCATGTGGTGAGAACCTGCAAGCAATTCAAGCCATACTGAAGAAGCTACACGAGTAGCCTCTGCTTGTTGAACATCCATCCGTCAGGCTAGTGCAGAAGTGTCCATAGCAGTGTCGTGGCTGTCTCTTTCGGGCTTTCCTTATTGCAAGGTGCCAAACTTGACACCGCTGACACTCGAAGGATCGGCAGGCACCTTGCGTGGCAAGGCGAGTCACTGTCGATGTACTCAATGTGTCCGGTGAAGCACCGACTATGCAAAACAGAGCGAAAGCTAAGCAGCACTTTTGTTCACAAACGCTGAAAATGCTGGCAACGAGTCCTTCCAGTACTTGCCGCAGTGACGCGAGCGGCAATTCACTAGATCAAATCTCGAGAAGAAGAGTCGGTCAATGCCTGGACAGGGCTACGATGTGGAATACCTGCACGACTGCAAAAATTCCATGGTGGGCATTCAGGACAGACCATGTGAGTTCTCATGTTAGCAGGCAGTCACTTCGCACAGCGTGTCAGTCAAAGCTGTCACCCGGAAGCGAAAGCTGTGCAGGACCAGGCAGTCAGAACGCTGCAAGAGGCATGGGCAGCAATGGCAAGGGTAGTGCAGAGCTCTGTCGGCGAGGGGAGTACGCATTCGAAGCTGTTGCAGGCTTGGCTCGACAACCGAGGTTGGGTGTGTTCGGCCGGGAGCTCACAGAAAGGGCTCCGACGTCCCATTTGCACATAAGGCTTCGCCACGGCTGTAACGGCTCTGTGGAAACTGCGAACGAGTCAACTCTCACCTGAAGCTTTTGAACTTGTTTCGAGGGCCAAGGTCGGCTAAGAGAAGAGAATGCAGAATGCCGGGCTTGCGAATGGCATCATGCACGCTGCTCGCTGCTGAAGCTTCTGCCTGCACCAGCGGAGCTTTCGATCCACTCGTGTACAAACCTGGTTAAAGCAAAGCCGGGTAGGTCTTGTTCAGTTTGAATGCTGTCCGGCTTTAACATGCATCCCTCAGCTTCGCGAAATGTTTGTGAACAAAGCTTGGGTCGTTTGGCACCGAGACAGCACCACTGCTACTGCTCGGAATCCTCTTCCGCTTCCTCGCAGGACGAATGATTTGGGGCAGGGCCCGGGACAGGTTCCTACATGGGGACACACACTCTGCATGCCGAGACCCTGAATCACACCCCTGGAGAGCTGCACAGGATGTTGTTTGCTGCTCTATGTGAGTGCGCAAACAAGTGGCTGGGCACGCTTCTTTGGCCAGCAGTGAACCAAGTGGCAGGGATCTAGTGGACGATTTTCACAACAGTCTTCGCGCGTGAAGCTCCTGAGGTCAGAGTTGGGTGCGTGGAAATTGGCGGGCCACTTCTTCAAGCTTTTAGTAGGCCTGATCTGCCTGCTCAAGATTCTGCATTCCAGTTCTCAAACTGAGAACAAACCAGTCCGACTGAAGTCTGCATGGAGATCCAAGTCTGAGCATTGTGAGGGTATGCGGGGGCAGAATGGTCAGGATCCTTCTTGATCATCTTCCTCTTTGCCGAGGCCCTTCTTGGAGCAGCCTGCAGTAGAGGGAGGTTCAGGGGAAGCCATGTACTCCACGCGATGGTCGTGCACGCACGTTAAGTGCACGGTAGTGCGCGCTTGAGCCAGGTCTGGATCTTCGGAAGCCTTCATTTGGACTTCAAGGTCAGAGTCTGAAGCTCCTCATGCGCAGTCTGCGAAGTGAGCCGTCATGCCACTGCCTGGGATGTCAAGTCCTGACATGCTGCGCTCGTCTCGGTTTTTCGTGTCAGCTAGACACTGCAGTTGTGACAGCCATGCAGCTGCGAAGGGAGGACATTTCGGTCGACAAGCCGTACAAGGTGGAGGAGATGGCGTCATCTCTCTGTGGTGAGCTCAAAAAGCCTGGGAGTCATAGTTTTTGACCAAACGTATTAGCAGAATTGTTTAAGTCAAGAAAACCTTGCACAAAATTCTGGTTGGATGGTGCTGGTTCCACTTTCTTCAAGGCTGCTTGGAAGCCTCCCAGTTGTAGGCGAAGGGGTGGCGGCGGCGGTGGTGGTGGTGGTGGTGGTGAAGGCAAAGAGTAAGAATTGATGCCGCCCGCACTCCCGCCCCGGTATCTCAGGGCAGCTCCCAAAATGTCATGGCCGCCTCCGCGAAGGGTTCAAGAGGGGTAAGAACGCATCTAAGGTGCCAAATACAGGAGAAGCGGGGGCGGGAAGACGTGGAGTGCGATGGCAGAGAGCGATAGAAAGAGAGACAGAGGGAAGAGAAGGGAGGAGAGGGAAGCGACGAAAGAGAAAGAGGAGAGGGGGGAGATAAAGGAATGAAAAAGAATTATACGAGAGCGGCTAGAGAAAAAAAGAAGGAAGACTATAGAAGAAATAGAGGAGGGGGGATAAAGAGAGGGGGAGGGGATTTCTTTCTCTTTCTCTCTTCTCATTCATATCTCGTATTATTCTTTATTTTCTCGATTCTGTAGATTTCATATTTTGTTTCTCTATTTTCTTCATTTTTTCTCTATTCAAAATTCTCGTCTATGCTCTCTCTTTATCTTCCTCTCTGATTAGCACGACTACTGTTTCTATCACGAATTTTAAGAAATAAGAAGAATATGATAAGCAAAATTTGTGCTGGTTACTATTGTATTTTTTAATCCTTGTTATCTCTTGATTTTTACGCATTTGTAGTTGGAGGTATACTTATTGAGAACTCGTCGAGAATAGGAAAATGGATTTATAAGATGATTTGATAATGATAATATTAGATGGATATATCGTATTTGAAGTATTCATTTATTTAATATGATCATGAAAGAATGAATAAAAAGATATTTCTATGATAATTTATCTTTTTATTGATATTCATTGAATTCCGGTGGTATATGGGAGTTTAAAAACTGAGAATCAATTATTGGGAGATAATCAAATGATATGTTATTTGTCCTCTATCTTGTCTTGCTTGCTGCTGGAAATTTCTATTATAGGGTAGGGTCGGAGTGATTATGATGATTATATTTATTAGATATGCTTGAAATTATTAGTATGCTATTATTATTATTATTGATATTCTTATTATTCTACTTGTTGTTTTTACGCTTACTAATGATATTATCGTTATTATTATTCTTGGCTCCGATATTGAGGCGAATTCGTGGGTTTATTATTTATGTTGGAATTTACAGTTAGTTCATTTTCGAGACGATTATTAAATTACTATTATTCGTAATATTGCCCTTGCTCTTGATATTATTATTATTCTTCTTATTGTTTGTGAATTCAAAAAGAATCTTATTTTTTTTTATAAATTCTTAAAATTCTTTATAATAGAAAGTTATATCAATAGTAATGTTAAATTTCGGAATGATAGATGGATCACTTAATTATCGTTCATATTAATTTTTATAATGGATCATAGATAGATTTATTCGAAGTCATAGATTATAATAATTAAAGGACCGGATAACCCCACATGACAGCGATACTCTGGTCAGCATCAAAGCAGTGCAAAACAGAGTGATTTAGATATGTAAATATGCGTGCGCACTCCGCGTGGGTGTCCGCGCCGGTTGTGTGTGTTGTGCGTGGGCGTGTGGGTGTGGGTGTGTTGTGAGCTGTGTGCTGTGTGGTGTGTGTTGTGTGTTGTGTGCTGTGTGTTGTGTGTTGTGTGTTGTGTGTTGTGTGTTTGTGTGTTTGTGTCTGTGTGTTGTGTGTTGTGTGTTGTGTGTGTTGTGTGTGTGTGTGTTGTGTGTCGTCTGTGTTGTGTGTGTGTGTGTGTGTTGCGTGTCGTCTGTGTTGCGTGTGTGTGTGTGTGTGTGTGTGTGTGTGTTGGGTGTTGGGTGTTGGGTGTTGGGTGTTGTGTGTTTGTATGTTTGTGTGTTGTGTGTTGTGTGTGTTGTGTGTGTGTGTTGTGTGTCGTCTGTGTTGCGTGTGTGTGTGTGTTGTGTGTTGTCTGTTGTCTGTTGTCTGTTGTGTGTCGTCTGTGTTGCGTGTGTGTGTGTGTGTGTGTGTGTGTGTGTGTCTGTGTGTCTGTGTGTCTGTCTGTCTGTGTGTCTGTCTGTGTGCGTGTCTGTGTGCGTGTCTGTGTGCGTGTCTGTGTGCGTGTCTGTGTGCGTGTCTGTGTGCGTGTCTGTGTGCGTGTCTGTGTGCGTGTCTGTGTGTCTGTGTGTGTGGGTGTGTGGGGGTGCGTGCGCGTGTCTGTCTGTGTGTGTGTGTCTGTGTGTGTGTCTGTGTGTGTGTCGGTGTGTGTCTGTGCGTGTGTGTGTGTCTGTGCGTGTGTGTGTCTGCGCGTGCGCGTGCGCGTGCGCGGGTGTGGGTGCGCGGGTGCGGGTGCGGGTGCGGGTGCGGGTGCGGGTGCGGGTGTGGGTGTGGGTGTGGGTGTGGGTGTGTGTGTGTGTGGGGGTGTGTGGCTGTGTGTGTGCGTGGGTGTGTGTGTGTGTGTGTGTGTGCGTGTGTGTCTGTGTCTGTGTGTGTGTGGGGGTGGATGGGTGCATGTGTGCGTGCGTGCGCGTGCGTTCACTCGCTTGGGATTCCTTCTCTACCCCCCCTCGCCTTCCACTCTCTTACCCATCTATATTCTTCGCTCTGGCATCTGTAATTTATAGGACTTGTTGTTATGGTTGTAACCGGCGATAAAGTAGATGGCGTACATATTGTCGTCGGCTCTAATTGTGGATCTGGTTCTAATTTCTAGCTTTGGCTCTAGTTGTAGCTCTCTCCCGAGCTCTGGTTCTAGTTGTAGCTCTTTCTCGAGCTCTAGTTCTAGTTCCTGCTCCAGATCTAGTTGTAGTTTTCTCCCTGGTCTAGCTCTAGTTATAATTCTCTCCGCGCTCTAGCTCCAGCTCTCGCTCTAGTTATAACTGTCTCCCGAGCTCTAGCTCCTGCTCCAGCTCTATATAGTTGTAGCTCTCTCCAGCTCTCGCACCTCTCCAGCTCCAGCGCTAGTTGTAGCTCTCTCCCGAGGTCTAGCTCTAGCTGTCTCCCGAGCTCTAGGTCTAGTTGTAGCTCTTTCCCTGGCTCTAGCCCTAGCTGTAGCTCTAGGTGTAGCTCTCTCCCGAGCTCTAGCTCCAGCTGTAGCTCTCTCCCGAGCTCTAGCTCCTGCTCCAGCTCTAGCTCTAGTTGTAGCTCTCTACTCTTTCCCTGGCTCTAAAATGTAGCTCAAGTTGTAGCTCTTTCCCTGGCTCTGGCTAGCTCCAGCTCCAGCTGTAGCTCTAGTTGCAGCTCTCTCCCTAGCTCTAGCTCTAGTTCTAATTCCAGCTCCTGCTGGAGCTCTACTTGTAGCTCTCTCCCTAGCTCCAGCTCCAACTCTACTCGTAGCTCTCGCCCTAGTTGTAGCTCTAGTTCCAGCTCCTGCCCCAGCCCCAGCTCTAGTTGTAGCTCTTTCGCTAGTTCCAGTTGGGTTTGTATAATAACCCCGCGTGGTCGATTTATGTAAGCACTTGCCCGCGATATTCGCGATGATGCGTTTGACTTGTAAAACGATAAGGAGGAAAAAATCGATAACGTTATTTTGCGCAACAAGCGAGCACAATCCAGCCAGGAGCCGAAGCGAGACATTTCCAGTACTAAAGTTGTACTACAAGCGAGCACAATCCAGCCAGGAGCCGAAACGAGGCATTGCCAGTACTAAAGTTGAACTACAAGCGAGCACAATCCAGCCAGGAGCCGCAACGAGACATTTCCAGTATTAAAGTTGTACTACAAGCGAGCACAATCCAGCCAGGAGCCGAAACGAGGCATTGCCAGTACTAAAGTTGAACTACAAGCGAGCACAATCCAGCCAGGAGCCGAAACGAGGCATTTCCAGTACTAAAGTTGTACTACAAGCGAGCACAATCCAGCCAGGAGCCGAAACGAGGCATTTCCAGTACTAAAGTTGTCCTACAAGCGAGCACAATCCAGCCAGGAGCCGAAACGAGGCATTTCCAGTACTAAAGTTGTACTACAAGCGAGCACAATCCAGCCAGGAGCCAAAACGAGATATTCAGAGGAGAGGATTTTAGTCGCGGGAGACTCTTCCCAAGAGCAGGGTCCCTTTAGCGCGCGCATGATCCAACAAGAGCCCTCCAAGAGCCTCGGAGAGCCTTCAGAAGAGAGGATTTTAGTCGCGGGAGACTCTTCATAAGAGCAGGACCCCATTAGCGCGCGTATGATCCAACAAGAGCTCTCCAAGAGCCTCCGAGAGCCCTCGGAAGAGAGGATTCTAGTCGGCTCTTCGTAAGAGCAGGACCCCTTTAGCGCGCGCATGATCCAATAAGAGCCCTCCAAGAGCTTCCGAGAGCCGTCGGAGGAGAGGATTCTATTCGCGGAAGACTCTTCGTAAGAGCAGGACCCCTTGAGTGCGCGCATGATCCAACAAGAGTTCTCCAAGAGCCTCCGAGAGCCCTCGGAAGAGAGGATTCTAGTCGCGGATTACTCTTCGTAAGAGCAGGACCCCTTTAGCGCACATGATCCAACAAGAGCCCTCCAAGAGCCTCCGAGAGTCCTTAGAGGAGAGGATTTTAGTCGCGGAAGATTCTTCGTAAGAGCAGGACCCCTTTAGCGCGCACATGATCCATCAAGAGCCCTCCAAGAGCCTCCGAGAGCCCTCAGAGGAGAGGATTTTAGTCGCGGAAGATTTAAGAGCAGTACCCCTTTAGCGCCCGCATAATCCAATAAGAGCCCTCCAAGAGCCTCGGAGAGCCC